TTATTGTAACTTGAAAACCCGTTTGCGTAGAGACCTGGGTCCGGGATGGGCTTCGCGAACCTGTGCGGATTGTCGTTGTTGGGGTTTCGAGCTATTAATTGGTTCTAGGCCGGGGCTTGAATCTGCGGTTGGATTGCAAAGTGTACTTGGGCTCAAGATAGGACGGGGAGTTTTAAATTAAAATGCCGACAGAGTGTACGATGATTTTGGGAGGCTTCGGTTTTTTGATCAGGGCTAAAGGTTGCGGTTATAGGTTAGCAGGGCAGAAAGATACTTGTGATTAGGCCGGGTATGCATTGCAGAGCAAATTCGCAGGCTTGAAGGAACGTTTCGGCAAAGGTTTAGGGGCATAGGGTTCGTAGGGTTTAGAAAGGACCAGAGGCCGAGAGATACATCTTGTTTACTGAAGTTTAAACCCAGCAGCATAATGTAGACGAGAAAGCCAGCAGCAGACTCCAGAACCCAATCTCGGGCAATCTGAGCAACCCCTACCTTCCCAAAGCCGGGCCTTCGCACATCCATCACTCGGAGGGCTCGCACGAACAAGGCCATACACCAATGCTAAGAATGTGCCATGCCACCGATGCTATTCTGAGTTGCTGGACATAATTAGTGAATAACTATGCTATTGCTTGACTTGGCACTAGCAGCACCACTGAAGAAGTGTTGAAACAACAAGAAGCATCGGCAATTCTCTCGCGGTGCTCACAAAAGAACTTTCCAGGCAGCACCATTAAACTAACCCAACAAAGATAGCCGGATTCGCCCTTGGTCTCCTTGACGATGCTCCGAGTGTAGCCAGCAGATCTTGATTGAAGAATACGACGAACCACCACTGTAGGCCTGCGGGGGGAACGATTCGCACGAAAGGATTAGGGTTTGTCGTTCAACTCTGCCGAGGATGCTACTGCGACTTCAACAACATGCAGCTGATTGCCAGGAGACCACGGGCAAGCAAACGTCTTTTTGTCCAATGTTGAACAGGCACGGACTACTCCCGAAGCTCATGCGAAGCACACTATCTTGGCCTTCGCTCCGACCAATTAGGTAGGAGGCATGAGAGGTCCACAACATGTAACATAAAGATTGCAAGGTTCTGGACTCCATGAAGTATGCATACACTATTCTTGGTGTGTAACCTCCCCCTATCCTCCCCCTAAGTTCCCAGTAGAAAAACTCGCTCAGGCCCCCTCGCTGGGAGCTGCATACAAACAGCTTTTTGAAGCCTCAAACTTCTTGAATGAATCGTTCGGATCGAAGCCAACATGAAGATCAAGGGCCTCAGATATTTGGTAATGTTGTTCAGTTCTGATCGGTTCGTGATTGTATGCAGGGTTCTTTGTCAGCAGAGATACAAGCTGCTTGATGGGCAAGAAGTTGGCCATCACGTCAACCTTCGTGGATCCACAGTAGGCAACCTTAGCGGCAATTCTCACAACAACTTATTAGAATGCACTCCGAACCATTCCACAATGAAGGTTTGAATCAACCTCAGCCTAGACACCTGGGGACTGTCCGGGGTTGCCTCCAAGAGCCCAAAGCCAGCTCGGGACCAGTAGGCCATGATCTTGTGCTTGGCCCCAGCTCGATTGAACTCGTGGATGAAAGCTTTGATCTCGAGCTCGTCCTACGGTACTTACACATCACAGCCCTTAGAAATATGTGTGGCAATATGTGCTCTGGCTTCCACATCGCGAACGGTCCTCGGTACGTGTCCCTGGCGGCTTCTCTCTCTTCGCTTTGGCTTTCGGATTGGGGTTCTTTGCCTTTGCTTTGGCCTTGGCCTTGGCTTTTGGGCGGGGTGAGTTTTCCTCCTCCTCTCCTTCTCCGTCCGGCTCCTTTTCCCCTTTCGAGATCTTAGCAGCCGGCCTTTTGCAGACCGGTCCTTTCTTCTTCATCGCCTTGGGCCACTCACTCCAATCCTCCTCCCAATCATCCTCCCACTCCTTAGCAGACCACTCCTTGGAAGCTTTGGTTTTGGCACGTTTCAGCTTTCTTTTCGATGGCTGGGGATGCTCCTCCTCCTTCTCCTGTGGCTCCTGTGGCTCCTTCGAACCTTCCTCTGGCTCCTGCGAACCCTGTGGCTCCTTTGAACCCTGTGCCCCGTCTGCATCCTCCTGCTCCGAATCCCCTCGCTTGGCCTTGCCTTTGGCTCGTGCCTTCGCCTTCTTTCTCGCCTGCAAGCCCAGCTGATCTAGACGATCCACAACCTAAGCTGCAAGAAGTTCTGTATGCTGAGCCCAATCCCTAAAGCCACCCTGATCGTGCAAGACGAGTCGCAGGAGCCATCTCCTGCTCAACTTGCACCAGCTGGGTGTCCATGGCATCCATCGCGGATCCTGAGGGGATTGGTTTGGTGGGCTTATAAGTTTCTATGTTGGATATATGCACATATATAAAACAATTTTAAGTATATAAATACATATATATATGATATGTTTGTATGCAGGCATGTGTGTGTGTGTCCATCTGGTGTGTAGCCCTAGGTGTGTCATGTATGTCTATGATTACAGTTGTTTTCGTATTTACAAAGATGTACTATGTTGAAATAATGTAGACATATATAAGCACATAAAATGGCACATACTTGTGCAGATAGATAGATAGGTAGATAGGTAGATAGACACATAGAAAGATATATGCGTGAGTATCCTTTTGGCCTGCATGTATGCGTGTGCGGGCCCTTTTCCTGTTGTGTGAGGAGACGGGGCGGGAGAGGGGTGTAATTGCCTATATGAAAGCCTCTACACGATTGCAGATCCTTATCACTCCTATGCCTGTGCAATGGCAAACTCGTGATTTGATAGCTTATTTGTTATGCTTCTTGTTTGGTGTGTACGTGTCCATCGGTGAACAATATTGCAGCTTTTGTTGAGTTGCATACCTAGATATATACATATATGCAACATGCACAGATGATGTGAGTGTGTGTATGTATATATATATATATATATAGACAATGCATCTATGCCAGTAACTGAGCAAATTACATAACTACGTAGTGACTGTATTTTGGAAATATGTGTATGTGTATATATATATATATATATATATATAGATAGTATATATTTATTTAACCATATGTGCATATAAAACCCCGGGGATGTCTTTTTCAGCCAAATGCGAGTGCATACACACATCATTTGCAAGAATACTTCATGCTGTAATTTCATAAAATGTATCTGAATGACCTTTGGGCCTTTGGGATAATACCGGCAATATGTTTATGTGTCTGTATGCAGGCATGCACCTCATGTGTTTATGCATATATATATATATATGTATGGGTGCTTGCAACATATGCATACTGTGTAATGTATACGTACATGTGCATGTGTATGTTTACATGTAGATGCGTATGTAAAGGTGGGTTCGTGTAATTATGTGGTGGGATTGACTCTATGGGCTATAAAATTGTTGGCGTATTTATCTTTTCAATTCATCACTATTTACAGTGTATGTAACCGCCCAACACTACAACCGTAAGAATGTCCGAATCGAAGAAAAGAACTGAACCCCGAATAGTCTGATCAAGAAACCCGCAGCAGCCGGAGCCGACACCTGTGCCGCCTCTTCAGCTGCCTGCTTTTTCTCGGCAATCCTCGGATAGGAGAATCGAAACTATGCGAACACACCCTTCGACAAACGACTCCCAAAGCTTGCACAGATATGACTCGACCCCCAAATAGAGATGAGCCACCGTGCTCGGATGCTGGCAATCTGCTGCTCCAACATACGACGTTTCATATCTCGGGCTGCTTCAATACCACCCGTCACAACACAGTCATCATCGTCATCCACAGGAACCGCTGCGGCACGGGGAGCTGGCTTCGTTTTCGCAGCCGTGGCCACCAAAACTTTTTCCACAACTTCCCCACCCTCTTCCTTTCTTTCTTCCTCATCATCATCATCACCATGATCCCCGCCCTCGTGCCCGTCGGCGGCAGGCACATCCAGCTCTGGATAAGCTGCCTCGCAGAAAAGCAAAGACAATCCCGGACACAACAATGATGTGGCAACAAGCATCATGAGCCCCTACAATAAATTCAATTCCTGCCTTCGCTCCGAAGGCGGCCACGATATGGCGATACGTGATATCCTTGGGTGGTTGGAAGCTTTGGCAACCACCTACCAAAATGACAGTGGCCTAATTCATGCATGAAGTCTTAACTGCTACTGAGATTCCCGGGATGCTCGGTCACTGACAAACTGCTTCTTGCACATTGACAGCAGGCTTTTAATGTGCTTCGCATCCGAATGACAAGTAGCCATGACTGCATCTGGCAAGCGAAAGCTTTCAGGCAACTTGGGAGGTCTCCCTGCTGCGGCAGCCCGGCGCTTTTCCTTGGCCTCGTAGTACTTATGCCACAAAGCAGAAAGTTCCGAAACCAAAACCTCAATACTCGGGATTTTCAAGCTCCGTGCAGCTAGCATCTGCACCATGATAGGTTTCAGAAACATATCGTTGGCGACAGCCGTAGCTTGGATGCAAACCGGGCTTTTTTCGCCTTCCGGAGGCAGAACCAACCCTTTTGCTCCTTCCTCCATGAGTCTCTCTTTCACCTCAGGATTCTGATGCCATGCTGCAGCCAAGCCCACCAGTAACACCTCCTGAACCTCGCGATCCATGGCCCACCACGTGTGACTGTCTCGGGCCCACAAAATCTCAAATGCAGCAGATCACAGACCCATTGTGACAACAGTGCTTTTCATCAGATCGTGTTGCACTCGCACATGCTGCACAAAGTAATGTGAAGCGAAACGAGAAATCAACAGTTTGCGGGGCTGGGCACACCTGTACCTCGGAGCCATCCATGACGAATGAGAGGGCAGCAGCCCATGGCAAATGTTGCTGCTGATTGCAGAAGCTGCTTGTTTGCTTCTCGATGCGAATCCAAACTGCTGCGATGCCAGCTGTCTTTCTATCAACCGAAGTTCCAGAAACCTAACTAGTGTGATATGACCTCTCTATGAACCGAGTAACCCAAACCCCTAAGTGCCTTGTAATGCCTTGATCCGGATCGTCGGCGAGTCGTCGCAGGGCTGTTTGTGGCCTGAAGTAGAGGCGATCTTGGATGGGATAATGGGGGTTCGGACACGGTTCGGGCGGTATATCTTATGGGTTTAAGGGAAGATGCCCTGAGGAAGTTGTTGGCTGTTCACGAGGGCTATTCCTAAAATCCGACCGCTTTCAACCCATCAAAAAAAACAATTTATAAACCCCTTTACGGCCGCTTTACGGGGAAATCCAGATTTCAGGAAGAGGCTGGATTTAAGTGGCCGCTAGGATCTACAGGAGGGGTTTAGGGTTTAGGGGTTTAGGGTTTTTGGTTTAGGGAATAAGAAATTGGCTATGAATCCCGGCAGCTTAGAGAAACAGCACTTAGCATTATAGTGGCTGAACTGTACTGCAAATAATTTGGGAATACGACGACGACTACTACAGTCATTACTAATTCTACTGAAAATGGCAATAGTAACAACAGTGGTATTCGAAATAGCACTTCGTCACAGTAACGATGATGATGATGATGATGGTAGCAAGTAACAGTAGTAATAACCCGTAATAAAACTCACGTAAGACTACTACTACTACGGATGGACCACAATAATAATAACAATAATAATGACAATAATGATAATAATGATAATCGTAGTATTACTAAAATAGTAACAGCAACGAAGCTAGTAGTGATAGAACCATGAACCATGAATAATCACAACACGGTGGCGAGGTTTAAACATGCGGCTTTTTCAAAAAAACACAAACAGCTATTTCGTATTACCTGCGTGAGAGTCAGGCCCGGGACGCCGGGTGGATTTGCGATGTCGAACCGTGTGAACCCCTAAACCCTAAACCCTTACAGTAAACCCCTGAACCCTAAACCAAACCCTTAAACCCTTAAACCCTAAACCCTTTAAAACCTAGACCCTAAATGTTTCAAACAAAACTCTTGCACTAAAACGGGACCCTTGGGTTTAGGGGTCTTAGAGTCTAGCCTAACTCCGAATAACCTACGATTTTAAGGACTCTTGTAAGGAAATCATAATAAGGAGCCCTAAAAAGGTATGTTATTCAGGGTTAGGGTCTAGGGGTTAGGGGTTTCGGGTTTAGGGTTTCGGGCCCCAAGTGTGCCAAAGGATCCAATAACAAGATAGTTGGGTTTAGGAGTTTAGGACAGTAGCTTTATGGGAGTTTCCGAAATTCTCCAACCCGGCCTTGTTTTCGTTTGGACAGTCGATCACCGGACAAAGTGCGAGGAAAAAGCGGCACTTGCTGACGTACGCTGGGATACTCTTGATGGCACTGGCCTGCTGGAGGCTATCCTCAGCTGGCGAGTTTTTATACCAGCCAAAAACCCAACATTCAAGCTGAAGCTTGCACACAAGTTTCTAGACAGTTTACCAAATCAGATACTAAGTATCCACTTCATCCGCGCAGAAGAAGCGATGCTCCAGCTGTGGACATGAAAAGTAGTCGTACCAGAAGAACAGGGGCTGCTCTTGAAAGTCCTGGAAAGCCAAAAAAATGTGGTCTATAAGGGGTCTTTGGTTTAGGGTCTCTCGAAAACCCGGAAATCTTGGGGTTTAGTGTTCAAGGTTCAGGCTATTGTGTTAAGGGCCCGGGTTCAGGCCCTAGAAGGTACGAAAGAGTCCTTGAGACCTTGGTAGCAGGGCCTCTCGTTTACAGTTCTCGGAGCCTCGGAAGTTGCGTGTAGGGCTGCCGGTTTAGGGCTTATCTAGGATACCCAGTAACCTAAGAATAAAAAGGCCTCTCTTTTTGGTATTGGGTAACTTTATAAGGAACCTAGGACTACAAAAAGGGAATAAGGGTACTACTGGGCATCCTAGTTATCCTAGTTATGGTTTAGGGCAACACTCAGGGATTCGAGGGGGAGTTGGGTTGAGGGTATCACCTTGAGGCTCGGGAAACCTATCATGAAGCTAATGAGGCATGAACTCTAACCCAAGTGTAACTTCTCTGTCTAGTGTCGCCTAGGTCTTACAGAACTGGTAACCTGCCTGCAAAACCTTAAACCCCTAAATCCTAAAACCCAAAGCCTTTAATCCTAAATACCAACCCCAAAACTCAACACACCAAAACCCTACACCCAAGACCCTAAACCTAGAGCCGTAGGATCTGAGGCCAGTCCTGCGTTGGAACCGGCTTGGCCGTTTGCACCAACGCTTCTGTCCTAGGTTCCCCAGTGTCCCCTTGACAAGAATTGTACACTCTTTCCTGGTATTCAAGCTTAATAAGGGAACCCTGCAATAAAAAAGGGCAAAAGGGTATTACCGGGGAACCGAGCGTCACAAGGTCCAAGGGGAGAGACCAACGCGTGCTCAAAATCCGCTTCAAGGCATTCTGCAAGATGCTCCTTCGCTGTCCGACTCATAGGCACTAGAAGCACTTTGTCGCAGTTGGGAAAAGGCATTGCAGTAAGCCGAACGGCTAAAGCTGACAAACTCAGCTTATACGTATCATATGGGTAAGGCCTGCTTACAACTCTCTCTATAGTGCGTGCGCAATTGGCCGCTATTGCATTAACTTTTAAGCCCCTTCGATCAAAACAGATGGACGAGATTGAACGACCCCCTGAGGCTGGGTTAATAATCCATAACAGAGCTGAAAAAACATGCAGCAGCAACCAGACGGTGTTTTCCAGGTTCTACAAGGGTTTTAGCGATTTCTGGTTAACATGACGTGGTAGATGGTTTTAGGGTATATGATGCTGTAGCAAGAAGATGCTATAAGCTGAGGAATAGATGGGAACAGCTTTCCTTCGTATTCAAGCGACAAGTACTGCCAAGGCTCACTTGAAACGAAAAGTGCGACAGTGTATGACATTAGGACTAATCACTCAGGGTTCCAATGCCTAAGGGTGCCCTTTTTGGTTTAAAGGGGGTTACAACGGAACCGAAACCCTCAAAAAGGGAATAAGGCCCTGCTCTGGGTCCTAGAATATTACCAAGGCTCATCTGCCTGAAGTCAGGGTCCGGGTGCTGTTTGGCAAGCCACCTCGGGTCCCAGCCCCCGCTCAGCAATGCAGTTTTCAACTGCAGGAGTTTATGAGGGTTTGAAGCTATGAGGTAACAACAAAGGTACCACTCTTCCCAAAAGATCGGATTTCACAAAGAAGCCGCACAATGGTATCCGTTCATTTTCATAAGGACACCCAGCCCGCGGTTAAATAGGCAAACAGATACTAATCGAAAACCATAGACAACGACTACAAAAGCAAGTGCCTCTAGAAAAGCCAGGTAAAAACACACAGAATCTTGATTGAAAAAACCCTAAACCCTAAACCCTAAAACCCTAAACCCTAAACCAAAAACCTAGCGTATATCTCGAACGGGGCCGCTGGTGTGATATGAAGGCTGCTCTCCCGAGGTCGTCCGTGAAGGTCACGAGCTCCCCTCGCGCCTTCAACAAGAGCGTAATATACTTGGAAGGGCAGGGGACTTAGTAAGTAGGTTATAAGTAGGGTTATAACTGGGGTAACTCTATTTAGGGTACTTATAACTCTACTTATAACCTACTTGCTAAGTCCCCTGCCATTCCAAGTAGGGGACTTGTCTTTCAGAATAGGGTTTTGGGGGTATACTATACTTTATTTATAAGAAGGCACCCCAACATGGAATGTGTAGTTCTTTGGGCCTCTATATCCGCGAACCCGGCAATGCCATTGGTTCAGAGTGCAGGGTTTAGGCATTGTAGCAACAAAAGGAAGTACAATGATGGAGACTGTAATATAGGGGCCTTGTAGGTGAATAGGGTTTTGGGGGGGATATTATACCATAATGATAGTGAGGAACCGTCAAATCGTATTGGCAAATATTTGGGCCCCCTTGTTTGCTACATCCTTGAAGGCCTCCAAAATTTCATGGACCCTTAGGGCAACAGACCCTGAAAGCAATCCCCTGGTATCCAGCCTTCAACTTTTCGTGCGGCTCGATCCTCGTCATGTTCAGCAAGAAGTCTGAGCTGACAGTGTACATTGGGAAGAGCGCTGGAAAAGCCTGAGCTAGCCGATGGTGGACAACCACACCTCTTGATGTCGTGGAAAATCCCCCTGTTCGAGAGTGTTCGAAGCAGCAGTACGAGGGGGAGTCAGAGGAACAGGCACAGGAGACGTAGTAGAAGGAGCAGCAGCAGCCGTGGCTGCTCCACCCACACTACCACTACCACTATTGCAAGCACACTACTTATCTTTCACCTGTCACTGGCTTCTTGGATAAATCTTACTCCTGTCTGTAAAAACGTAGAGAACAATGACAACTACGGTTGATGATATCAATCCTGCATTACCCAAAATAAGGAAGAAACCATAATTCCCATAGTTTAGGGTCATTAAGGTAATGCAGGATTGCATTACCTTAAGGACCCTAAACTCTGGGAATTATGGTTTCTTCCTTATTATGGGTAATGCAGGATTTATATCATCAACCATTAGTAAATCATTGTCCTCGGAATACAATATGGTACGTAATATGCCTGCAAGCATAGACGCACCGTCTCTGTGGCCAGAGTGTGTGGCAAAAACTGCGAGACCGTACGCAGTAGAATATGTGTGGGTCACCCTAAACCCTAAACCAACACTTAACCCTGGGTCATGCCAGGCGGCGTCTGCACCATCGGGCAGCGATTTCGCATAGATCTCCAGTGGCGTTGCTGGCTTCCCGGCAACACAGCAGGCCATGGGCTCGAACAACTAAAGTAGGGCCTTAATAATTAGAATAGGGCTTTGGGTTCCTTTGGGTTTATTGTGGTTCCTACTAAAGGGGTCTATAAGTGCGACTAGAAGGGCCATTATGGGGGTTTGATGGAGGGGCCTTAATAATTAGAATGGGGTTTGGGGTTCCTTTATGAAATGTTGATAATAAGGAACCAAGGAATAATATAGGCTAATAGGTCATTAGCTCGGCTTCTATACTAAATTAATTATGGGGGAGCCTGAAAAGCAGGACCGGGGTCCAAAACTTCCCCCCCCCCGAGAACTCCTGCACCTCTACGGTGCAGCCTATTAATTAAAGTGGTTTGGGCCCTAAGGCTTGGTTCCTGAACCCTGTGTTCCAAACCCTAAACTCTGAAAGCCCAACCCTGAACCTTGATTGCTTAGGTACTGCCCCCTTGCAGTAAGAGTCTACAATAGGGCTACTATTGAGGTACTAATATATCTATATTATCAGTATTATTCAACTATTACTGAGTGTGGGCCGTACCCAATTGATTGCCCTAAACCCTAAACCCTAAACCCTAAATCCCCAAACCGTAAAACCCTGAAAACCCCTAAACCCTAAACCCTAAACCCCCAAACCGTAAAACCCTAGAACCCCGAGCCCGAACCCGACTCTACCCCTCGGTGAGCCTCGAAGCGAGCCGGCTCTCTGGTTCGGATCGGAAGTTACTTCGGGAGGGTCTGGGGTTTAGGGTTTAGGGTTTAGGGTTTAGGGTTTAGGGTTTAGGGTTTAGGGCTTAGGATTTGGGGTTTAGGGGACACCGAAACTTGTTCAACAACACCTACTTAAGGAATGCGCCATAAACTTCGGAAGGCTAAGGCTGACGTACTGCATGGAGAGACAATAAAGATACGAGCTTGCATAAACCCTTGGCGTTGTATAGAAAAGACAATTCCTAAGTATCGTCCATCCATAATATGCTCAAGATAGGCGCCGCAACAATTACTAGACCCAAGAGTAACCTGGTAATAAAAGGGTGCCCTTTTTGGTTCAAAGGGGGTTTATAAGGGAACCTGAACCCCAAAAAAGGGAATAAGGGCTTACTCTGGGTCCTAGATTAAGCCGGGGCTCCCAACTCTATTCATTGAATCCCCCTATTAGGACGAGGGCTTCCTTCGTTCGGTCAGCGCTGGAATTTCGCAAACCTAGTCCCCAAACCCTAAACTTCTGAACCCTTTAGGGTTTAGGGTTTAGGGTTTAGGGTTTAGCGGGCGGGAGCTTACGGAAAGCTTGGATTCAAGAGCTCATTGACCATTTTTAGGGGTTTCGGCTTAGCTCTTGCTTAAACTGAGGGTTTAGTGTTTTTCACGGCTTAGGGTTTTGGGGGTTTGGAGGTTTGCGGATGAGGCTTAGGCTGCGGTTGATGATATAAATCCTGCATTACCCATAATACGGGATATACCATAAATCCCATAGTTAAGGGTTTAGGGTATATACCATAATTCCCATAGTTTAGGGTTTAGGGTTTAGGGTATAGTATATCCCATAATTCCCATAGTTTAGGGTCCTTTAAGGTACAGTAAAGGGTCCTTTGAGGTCCGAAAGGCCGATGAATTCAACATTTACCCCGGCGGCCGGTCAGCAATATTCCTGGAGTCGCCATTGTAGTTCCTTTTTAAGGGTTACCTTGTAGGATCCTAATTATAACCACCCAAATATTATAGCAATATTTGGGTGGTTGTCAAAACTAGGGTCCCTTTTTGGGGTACCCTAAATATTAGGTGCCGTATTATAATAGGGACCCAAAAAGGGATCCTAATTTTGACAACCACCTATTTCTTCAAGGGAACAATATATACCTGGGGATCCAAAAAACCTACCGTTTTCGGGGTTAGACACTCTAGTTAGGGGGTCATAACCTACTATTTTGTAGGGTTTGGGGATTCAGGTAATGCCGAAACGATCTGACTAAACTAGGCTGTGGATATCTGATTTTCACCGGGTGCTGTAGACTCTACAGGCTTTGTACCAACCATTTGTCGACAAGCTCCTCAACCCTAAGCACCACCACTAGAGCCAGAACCTCAACCCCTAAACACAATCCTGGGGCCTGATTAGTACTGGGTAATGACTTGGGGGGATATCACCACTGGGAAGATCCCTGTGCTAGGTTAAACTCCTCTCCTAGTCGCCGTATGATACTCCTATCCCTAAGAGTCCAAAGGACCCAAGAATTAGGTACTCGGTTTTAGGATACGAGTTATGTAGCTTACCATTTTGGAGAGTAAAGGATACTTAGAACTTGGACCCTTTGGGTATACCACCTCCCAAAACCCTGCTCGAATGTCTTGTTTACGAAGCCCTTGGTCCCGGGTGTCGGGTTCTTCGCGGCTTGAGGGCTCAGGGAGACGTAGCCCTCTGATTCAGAAACAAAAACCCTCTTCCCTCATATAAGGACAACTAACTAATCAGAATTCTTGATGGATGTTTGGAGCCTCATATAAGGACCATTAACTAATCAGAATTCTTGACTGAGGTTTAGAGTTTAGGGTCTCTTTCTCGCCTTGGTGTAGTGCTGGAGGATTTAGGGTTTCCGGAGCTACAGCTGCAGGGGCCTCAAGGCGCTGTAGGCGGCTTAAGGTTAAGGCCTACTTGGAGGATCATGGGACTTAGTAAGTAAGGGTATGAGTGCCCTAACTGGGGCTATAAGTAATAATAAGTATAGTTACCTTATCTATAACCCCAGTTGCTAAGTCCCATGATCCTCCAAGTAGGATTTCGGGTTAAGGGTTCTAGCTGCCAGTGAGTGTCTTCGATGACGCGCTGCCAGTACACGCCGTTGATGAGTACTTGGGCGGAGATCCGGGTGCCCGTCGGTGCCTCCTGCGCAAAAAGCGCCCTTTCTGAGCGTAGCCGTAGCTGTACATATCGGGGTCACGGGTGTGTAGGTTTCAGCAATCTTCAAGTCAAGAGCTGCGGATGCTTAGAATGTCGGTGTGCGCGGGGGTCATGTTCCAGCATTTCACTTAAGAGTTCAGTCTTGGTAGGGCAATAATTTTGAGGGTTTAAGCAGCACCCTATGCTGCCTACACTACATTCTATTACTACCCACTAGCCCGAACTGAACTGCAATATCTCAGGGATTCCTTTATCAATGAATGAAGCCTCGTAGAAGTTACAGCAAGCAGTCGTCCTCAGTGGAGGGGTTTGACACCTAGACCGCGTAAGCATGTAAGCCATGCCTGCAACCCAAACCACCTTGAGCCAAGACCTGAACAAAGTTGAAACCTAGACCCTAAACCCGAAACCCTGAAATCAATGCATGCTGAGCATCCCAAGGACAGTGGATGTACTCCGTGGGCAGGTTTCGAAGCTCTGGCAGCCAACGACGGACGTAGTTACCTTCCGGATCCACCTGATCAGGTTCATACTGTAGTATACCGTAATATTGCGCAACATATCAAACCAACATATGATAGTAACATGTGGTATAAAGTGGCTTAGCAAACCCACACAAATATGTGTGTGTATATATATACACACACATAGATAGACAAATACAGATATAGAGAAAGATGTATACATATATATATATATATATATATCTATATATATATAGGTTCGAATGAGATTTTGCAGGTTTTCGGGGCTGGGGTTTTGGAGCCAGCCCTGGCGAAAGCTCTGCCATAAAAGAGTACTTGGAGGATCATGGGACTTAGTAAGGGTTCCTTAAGGGGCTCCTTAAAGGGATCTATAGGGTTCCTTAAAGGGATCTATAGGGTTCCTTAAAGGGATCTATAGGGGTTTAGGGTTTAGGGTCTACTTGGAGGATCATGGGACTGAGTAAGTAAGGTTATAAGTACCCTAACTCGGGTTATAAGTAATTATAAGTACAAGTACTTTATCTATAACCCCAACTACTAAGTCCCATGATCCTCCAAGTAGGCTCCTACCTATTCAAAGCGGTAGAGTGATAGGACCCTTACCCCCCCCTCCCGATGCCCCCCTAGGGGCCCCTATGATAGAGATATAAGCGACTTCGTAAGATGTTTGTAACCTCAATTGCGGTGCCGAGAACTGTGCTTACTAAGTGTCCTACTATCCTCCAGGTACAATCATTACAACCTGAACCTTAAACCAAATGTGCAGCTACTAAAGTGTCCCGAAGTGCAGATTTCTGCAGTCTCTCCGATGTCTTTAAGGACGAGCCTGCAATAACACCCTACACATTGAAACTCTTTGACTGGGTTTATCCGCTGAACCCATCATTAGGGTCCGCGTTTTTCTGCAACTCCCGTTCAGAAGAACCATGGGTGACGACCAACTAAACCCCAAAACGGTACTACCAAGCCTTAAAACTCTAAACCCTAAAACCCTACTGCCCAACCCTACACCCCCAACCCTTGTACCCTGAACCCTAAACCCCTAAACCCTAAACCCCTAAACCCCTAAACCCTAAACCCTAAGCCCTGCCTTCTTGCCCGCATAGATGGGGTGCATCACGAAGTTCCAAGAGCCGATCCCGGAGTGACCGCCTGATTTCCCAAACTCTTCAGCCGAGGTGGGCTTCTTTCCTTAACTTTCCCTATGCCTCCAGGGACCTTATTATGGGGTCCTTAAGGGGTCTAGGGCCCTAACACGAGGTCCTTTGAGGGATAGGGTTTGGTTAGTAGCGAATGGAAGAATGGTAGTGATAGTAGTTGTAGATATTGGAAGTTTAAGGCGGCTTTCTGGTAGGTGTCGATTTCAGCCGTCCCAAAACTGGTTGTAATTAGAGGAGTGCACTATGTCAATGTCAATCATCCCAAATCGATGCCAAGTCGAAGGTTTCTGTGTGGCAAGTGCCCTTAGGGTCCAAAGGAACCAATAATTAGGTACTTGGGTTTAGGATGGCAGTTATGTAGCTCAATATTCAAGAGAGTACATGATTATAAGGTACTTGGACCCTCAGGGGTGAATTTGGGACTGAGTGCCCCACCCATCTGCCACATCATTGCATTGATGGCGACATCGGTGTCCACCAAGGTATAATCATACCAGGCGAAGCCTTGCCAAAAATGTTAGGGCTTAGTGCCAATAGTTAGGGTTTACGGTTCATGGGATTGGGGCTGAGCGAAAACACTGGAAAGTTGATAACTGCCTGAAGTTCAGTTCAAGCGCAAAGCTGCTGAAAAAGCACCGAATCCCGACCAAATGGCCGCATCGAAGGCTTGTCCCGCAAGGCACGACTTGAAGTTCAAGTTGCAGGACTCGGGTTGCGTCTGGAGTTTCGAGGACAAGGTCAAGAGGTTCACAGGGTTTAGGGTAGTGCAAGCAGACCCTAAGGGTCCAAGTATCCAAACAGTAGGGTTTCAAGGTCAAAGACCATTCAGGGTATTGATGTTGGGACCTAAAACCCTACTCTTTGGGTACTTTGACCCTCTGGGAGAAGCATAACCAGTATCTTCTTTGCAAAGCCGAAAATTGATCAACTCAGTTTCGCTTTTCCTCATAACTGAAGCTGCAAGTGTCAGGTCTTCCATCGGAAGCAGTCTTCAAGAGAACAGCTCCCTGAACCCTAAGGAATGTTGCACTTGAAGAATACTGAATAGACGATGTATTTGGTCAAGTTCACGTCCAAACAGGGCTAGAGCTTTCATGTGGGAGCACATTGGAAGCACGACGCCGGGAAGCTCCACAACCCTAAACCCCGTATACCCTAAACCCTAAACGTGAACTCTATACCGAGAACCCCAAAAACCCAAACCCCGAACCCTAAACCCTCCAAACCCTAACCTGACCCCTCAACCCCTAAACCCCTAAACCCCTAAACCCTAAACCCCTCAACCCTAAACCAAACCCTAACAAGACCCCAGTAACCCTGATCTCCAAAGCCGCCGCTCCAAGAGCCCTGAATCCCACAGCCAGGTCGAAACCTGTAGGGGTTTATATATGGGAGTTTCCGAAAACTCTAGGGGTACCTTGTTTTGGGGTCCTTATAATAAGGATCCTACTATTTAGGGTACTATATTAGGGTCCCCGATTTTCGGAAACGCCCATATAGGGTTTTCAAACCATGCTAGATCCCGAAACCCTGGACCTCTGGATTCAGGACTGCCATGTCAATCACGTCCTTGACCAAAAAAAATATAACACTTTTGAACTTTTTATATACTACTTTCTTAGCCCTAAACGCTTGATTAACAAGGGCTTTAGGTTGAGGCTCTAGAGCCCTGATGACCCCGGATTTTTGCGCCGCCTTCCTTCCAGCTCAGATCTAAGTGCTCGATGAGGAATTGCGCTGTCACGTGGCGGAGGTGGTTGCACATCCAACCCACCTGACGCTTTAGGCTTTTAGGTTTAGGGTTCAGGGTTTTAGGCTTGCTTTGGATGTTCGTCCTCAGGGCTTAGGGTCTGGGATTCCGGTTTTCCATTGGCAGTGCCCCGAGTAGAGGTCCAGGGTATGCTTTCTCTTGGCTTGAAGGTCTGGGCCATCAAGGCTCCGTGCTTGACTGCGCTGCAGACGGTCGGGCTCTTCCGGGCCTGATTTCGGTCACAGCTTTGCATGTTGTCGGGCTACCAATTAATTCCTTAAAAAAGAAGAAGCTTTTTCGAACCAAGTCTGGTTCGGGCTCTCAACAGGCTTCGTGAAACGGCGCTGCAGAGGACGATAAGAAGGCCTTTCATGATCATAATAGGGTCTTCTGGAAGGGATGACATTAGTAATCTCGGCTGACTTCTGAACCTCTCCTCCTTAAGAGCCAACCAGAAGAACGCCAAGAATTCCTGTAGGCCGCTGCAGAGGTGTCTTGGGCTTCGAGCCCCTCCTACGCAAGGGTGCTCCAAGCTGTAGCAGCTCTGCCCCACATACTACATTTGCCTTAATAATTCGCCTCGGCCCCGGCCGAAGCGGTCAGAGGTTCCTATTCGGATTCCCTCTGTTCCCCACCTCTTAATCCCCCCAGTGACCCCCCCTTAAAAATGGAAACGTGTCGACTAGCCCCAAGGTCCGGTGGTGAATTCTCACCTCCCCCCCATACTCCCCCCCCCCCCCCCCCCCCCCCCCCTGCCCCCCCCTGCCCCCCCCTGCCCCGCCCCCCGCCCCGCTCCCCCCTGCCCCCCTCCAGGCAAAGTTCGGAAATAGCGTTGCTTTGGGCAGCACAGCAGGCGGCTCCACGACCTAACCTTCTCATAGCATCGGAGATTCAAGCATCGCTATCGCCAGCTAGGGGCTATGTCGAATATCAGGCACAGAACGCGGAGATGCTACAATGGTCACATCAACCTCTTGCTGGCTTCTTGAGCCTTACGCTGCTCTGCCCTGCTTTGCCCTGCCCTACAATTAATATACAAGTGCGATTCCAACTGTTGTTATTTTCGTACAAGAGCTTCCTGCTGCGCCGGATGGTAGCCAGTCGCCGCATGCGCGAAAAGCCGGGCCGAGGCGGACGACGCGAAGCGTTTCAAATTAGAACAGGGTTTGGGGGCATTCAGAACTAATAAGGAACTATAGTAGGGTTCTATAATATGGGGGCCTTAATAATTAGAATAGGTAGGAATCTGAGTAAGAAACCCTGGCCCTGTAAACCCAAAATAGTAGAATTCATTCCTTTTAAGGAACCCTAATAAATGCCCAAGGTTTCTTAATCAGGTTCCTACACTAGTGCATCATTTTGATGGTCAGCTCAATGCGCTCAAGCCGGAGTCCAGCTGTGCGGAAAGATTGCACGGAAGGCTTCTAGAGGCATCCACTCGAACCCTGCGCCCTCAAACGAACTGTTGCAAATCTTGCCGAACCCCTTGTTCATGCTAGTTGCGAGGTAGAACACAAGCTTGGGAACCTGGTGTCGAACCCCTAAACCCCTCAAGCCCTAAATAACCCAGAACACATGTAATAACATCTCTGTCAGCTGCGCCACCTTCCAGAGTTGGCGCATGGCTGCATCGACCAGCGGGTAGCCTGCTCCAGTCGATCGGGTTGTGGTTAAGGGCTTCAATATAAGTTGCAACAATACAGAAACCATATCATGTGCTAAGATCCCTATTGTGGTAGCTTACATTAAAACCCGCAACAGAAGCCTAGCTTAGGGTATGTGGTTCAAGTTTACGGGCTGACCTGGATCCTGCCGAACCTTCTTTGGTAAGGTCCTATATGGGTGCTTGTCAAAATTATGGTCGCTTTTGGGGTCCTGATTATAATACGGCACCAATTATTCAGGGTACCCAAAACGGGACTTTAATTTTGACAACTACCCATATAAGGAAATCATAATGGTTAGGAGCCCAAAACAGTAGGTTATTTGGGCTTATGGTAGTGCTAGAGCAGCATGGTTGACTGGTTTGGGGATCAGGAGCTGCAGTGGGTTAAGAGGCACGAAACTCCGCCCAGACGGTGAGCTGAAGTTCTTGGCTACCGTTCTACCCATTATAGAACCAAACCATAGAATAGGTTTCCTGCAGGACGGTACGACAATTCAAGGCTAAGTGAATCATGTAATATAATACAGGGGTAGAAATGCTTCCAAATTCTACTCGTTAGTACTCATTATACATATCCCTTTCCCGGAATACGGTGGAAAAAACAAACATTCAGGCCGGCCCCTAAGCTAGACCCTTATAGTAACCCTCATAATGATCTTGGTAAGTCGTGCCCTTCACTGAGCAATCGAAAACTGTACTTGACAACTCACTGGACCGAAAAAGGTTTGATATACAGTAGAAGCCCAAAAGTTGGAAACCCAATAGCCTCAATCCTTAAGAGCAATTTATGGGGAATCCCAGCACTATTTGGCCTTAATCCGGTTTCCAACTTTATGGGATTCACTGTAAGGGTTTAGGGTTTAAGAAACCTCAACCATGAACACTAACCTCTGGGATAGCGAGCTTGCCTGCAGCCAGAAACTCTACCACATAGTAGGCTATGGATGACCACTCAGTTTTGTATGTGGTATAAGCCCTACTAGTCGTTGGGGATCCCCAGATGGTAACTATAGTTATAAGTTATAGCTGCCTGTAGCTCCAAAAAGAAAGTGCTCGTAGCCTTGTTTGCTAAGTCCCGTGATCCTCCAAGTTTGCTTACAGATTTGACTCTAAGGCACCAAAAAAGCACAGAAGCACGAATTAGGATAGGGATCTATACTTATAACCCCAATAGGTGTACTTATAACCTTGGTTACTAAGTCGAGTGATCCTCCAAGTAGACTCTAAACCCTAAACCCCTATAGATCCCATTAAGGAACCCTGTAGATTCCTTTAAGGAGCCCCTTTTAAGGAACCCTAAGTCCCACGATCCTCCAAGTAGGGTTAGCTTGCGGATCCTCCAAGTTTGCGTTTCGACCCGAAGACTGCAAGGTCTTTAAGGGACGAACAGCGGAGGGTCTCGACAAACCCAGGTTTAGGGGTTTAGGGGCTTAGGGTTTATGGGTTTAGGGGTTTAGGGTCACCCAAGACTCTAAGGGGGTCTATGTGGGAGTTGCCGAAAATTAGGGGTGCCTCTTTTGGGGATCCTTATAATAAGGATCCTACTATTTAGGGTGCTATATTAGGGTCCCCTGTTTTCGGAAACTCCCATGTAACGTAGGGGCCCTATCAAGTACGACGGGCTAGAGTAGGGTTCTGGTGCCAACTCATGCAAGAATCTTACCGGGACTATAAGGGAACATTACTGCTATACGACTGTTTGCACACATGATGTTGCCCTGTAGATCTTGAATCCACAGGACTCCGGGTTTGCTTCTGGCTCAGATGACGGTGACCTTCGGCCGAGGCCAACATTCTCCGCGAGCTCGGCACTTTTCGGTGTGGGATTGGATGGGTCGGAGCGGACCTGGCTCACGAATTCCACGGCCTTGGAGCCTTGCTTCTTAGCAAGCTTCCGAATGTTGTCCAAAGAACGTTTGCAACCCCAACAGCCGGGCCAGTTTGGCGCGGCCTCGCCCGGCTGGAGCTTCTTCCGACATCCTTTACACTTTTGACGATCGTCGGTCTCACGACTTTGGCTGCTGCTTTCGCCTTGGGCCAATGGGAGTCCCCCTCCCCCGGCCCTTGCCCTTGGCAGGAGCCTTCTCGGAGCTTCCGGGCTCCGAATCAGACGCTGGGAAGCCCTTTCGCTTTGTCGGAGGGGTCTTGGCCTCCTCCGCTTCCTGCTGTGCTTCCCACTCTGCATCAATGCTATCGAGCAATGACTCTGCTGTCATGACAATGCCAATGCACCGTATCGTTCTGGCAGCTGGCTTTGCGGTCCAGTTCGGATTGAAGGCCACATGATTGCCGGTACATGCTTCACGATCTTGCACGACTTCCGCAGCGACGCACTGCGTTAGGCGTCCGTGCTCAATCCAACTGACCCAGGTCAACACACTCAAAAACACACGTGGCCTTTTGTGGCCACAAGCGCGACGCTGCGGGTCACCATCTGCCGCCACTATAAGACTGCAAGTCATAGGGACCCTTAGGGGGGTAAGGGGGAGGGGGGTAGGGGACTATACTTCCTGAAACAAGTCGTATGATGCATCTCTCGGTCTCGGGGGGGGGGGGGGGGGGGGGGGCAGATTTAGGACGTACTGTAAGGGCCTTAATAATTAGAATAAGGTTTTGCGTGATATTCTACTTGACTTGTAATGAGGAAGCCCCAAAATTTATTAATTAGACCTTAGTGAAAGCCGCGATATTACAGACCCACCAGCAACTCCAGTCCTGTCTCGCCCCGCTGCCATCGCCGAAGCTGCAGTCGAGTGCCACTCCAGGCTTCTTGCTCATACTGAGGACGGATGCTGACCTTGAAGTTTAGTGCAGGGTTCCCCGTTATGATTTTTAAGGTCTGGTCATTTGGGTTACTTGGAAGACCATGGAATTTAGTAACTCTAAGGGTATAACTAAAGTAACTTTTAGTTGCAAGTGCTTATATCTCCAATTAAAGGCTTGCTTACTAATTACTAAGTCCCACGATCCTCCAGGTCGAGTTTAGGAATCAAACTGAGGCTTCGAATGGTACATAGGTGCCCGAATAGTTCATAAGGGATAATAAGGTTTCTTGGCGCATATTAATATAGTTGTGCAAGTACTACATGGGGGTATCTTTACTTCGTAAACCCTGGGGGCCCTAGACCCTCAACCCTGAACCTGAACCGCTAAACCCGCAAAGCCCTCAACCCTACACCCTTAACTCTAACACCCTGAACTCTGAATCCAAAACCCCTCCACCCTACCTAGCGGTTATTAGGGCCCCCAAAAAGCACATAAGCAAAACTTAGAATAGGGATATCCCACATACACCCCCTTATACTGAAGCCCAATAACGTAGGGATATCCCTACAACATGCTTATGCTCATGTCCTTTTTGGGGCCCGAAGTTATGGGGTTCTACGGCTTGGGCTTCGGCGTCGACTCGCTTTTGCTCAGGAGAGCCCATAGGTAGCGGTACTGTTGATGGTATAAATCCTGGGGGGTTCCTTCAAGGATCTATATGGCTACCTTTTAGGGGTTCCTCTAATACGGTTTGGGGTTGATGATATAAATCCTGCACTTAAGGAGTTAAACTACAGGAGCAATGGTATATTGCCTAAGCTAATGCGGGATTTATATGGGGGTTTCCGACAATAGGTGACCCTAATATAGCACCCTAATTACTAGGATCCTTATTATAAGGCCCCCAAAATACGGTACCCCTAATTTTCGGAAACTCCCATATCATCAACCGTAGAAGTGCCCTAATGTAGCGAGGCTCTCAGGACCCATTGTTTCGAGGGTTTTTGGGCCTCAAGACCACATTATATAAGGCTTTTGGGCCATTTTGAGCCTTAGGGTTACTGTGCTCTAGAACCGGTGTTAAATATGATGACTTATACAAAACAACCCTACGAGTGGGCAATGGTATTAAATACAAACTATTCCGGCCTCCAGATTACAAGACGTGGCCTTGCATAAGTATACATCGGGAGGCCACGCATCCTGCACCGCGACCATTCCTATCATCAGACCAACTGCAGAGTCGCGGAGCGCGCAAACCGTCAAGTTACATGGCATGATACTTGTCAGAAGTGCTCTGTTTGCTCACCAGGAGGCACGGGCGGGGCCTCAAACATAATTCACAGTGAGCAGTGGGAGAGTCACTCTCCAGCTGTGGGCACGGTTTAGGGTTGAGGGGTTTAGGTTTTGAGTTTAGGTACCGCTTAGACGGATATGCTGACACGGCTTGAGCATTTAGCCTCGAATTAAAGAGAGCTGCGAGCCGGTTCACGTTTAAGTTTAGTCAGGTCGAGTTTAGGTTTCCGGATCTAGTACCCAGAGCCGCCAAAACCCCTTAATTCACGAACATATCTTAAATCATGTTAGGGATCTTAATATAGTTTAAGGTATATTGCTAAAATTAAAGGGTCCTGGAGGCTCTGGGTAAGTTTGGGGGTTCCATCGTCGTCTTCTACTCCTGCTAGAACCTGACCTCACGAGAACAAAACACCCACCTGGACTGCAATCAAGGCACCGAATGAGAATCCGGACAGCGGTACAGCTGAGAGTAGGCCTGAACCAATGGGCTTAAGAGAGTGGGAGTTACTTCCCGTATTAACTCTTGGAGTATGTTGCTCTGCTTCGGATACGAGAAGAAGTGCTGAACCAGGTACTACAGGGGGGCCTTGATGATTGGGGAATTGTGCTTTACTACAGCCTAGAAGTATTACAAGGAACTCTTAAGGTATGTAGTATTACAATTTTGCTTAGGCTTCTATCGTAATTTAAGAACCTGATGAAGAAGCCCTGGCCCCGGCTTTGTAGCTTCATATACCGTTTATATAGCTCGAATTAGTCGTGATTAAGACCTTTTGTACTAAGTTTCATGGTCCTCCTAAATGCTAAACCCTAAACCCTTAAACCCTTAAGCCCTAAACCCTTAATTCTAAACTCTTAAACCCCTAACCCTAAACTCAAAATCCTTAAACCCTTAAGCCCTTAACCCCTAAACCCTTAAACCCCTAAACCCTAAACCAACCCAAAACCCCTCAACCCTAAACCCCCTTTAAACTACTTACCCCCCCCTAAACCCTAAACCCCTCAACCCTAAACCGTTGGAAGTCCGGGCCTTGTCTCGCCACACCACGCGCTTCAAGAAGAGCTGCCGCAACTCCTGCGAAAGGACCTTCCCATAGATGGGTTTAGGGGTTTGGTTTAGTTTTTTGAAATTTTGAGTTTCGGGTTTAGGGCTTTTGAAGACTTTTTTAATCTCTTCGAGGGTTTGCCAGGGAACCCAAAAGTATGTCGAACGCATAGCCTTTTGTAGGTGCCGGGACATTCTTTTACCGACCTTGGAGGTTTGAGCAAGAGGCCGGCTTCGCATTTGATGCGCAGGGCTCGCATGACTCCCAAACTTGTTACTCCACAACATAGATTTTGTTCACGTGCCGAACTCGTCAGATCATGCCGCTCATGCCTGCCGCAATTTTGGCCGCATAGACCTGCATTCACTTCGATGTTCTTGTAATGTTCCACAAAGGGACCCTCAAGCGCATAGACCGAATTGGCAGCAAATCCGACAGCCTTGCAACCGCATCCGCAATCGCTGTATGTGCTTCGGACAAGGGTTTCAGGGTCTACCTGCAGGGGCAGGGGACTTAGTAAGTAGGTTATAAGTAGAGTTATCAGTATCCTAAATGGAGTTACCCCAATGATAACCCTACTTATAACCTACTTACTAAGTCCCCCGCCCTTCCAAGTAGGGTAGGGCTTGCCTCAAATACCACCTGGACGCGAGTAAAGGCAAACGCAAGCCATGGCACGCCCTAACCCCAGAAGCAACTATTGCTTAAACCTTAACCCAAACCCTGAACCCTCACCCCAAACAGTAAACCGTCGACCTTTGTACCAAACCCTAACCTCAAGCGGTGGCACCTGGCATGTTCGCCACTCGACATATCTGGCGGAAAGGTCGCCAAAGCGGATGTAAGGACTCAGCATCGCCGTCCAAGCCTCTCCACGGTGGAGGCATTTATAGCAGTTTTGGGTAGACAAGCTTTGAGATTGAGCTTAGGGTTTTAAGTGATGACAAGACACCCCTAAACCCTCAACCCTCTGAATGATTTAAGGGATGCTTCGGATTTAAGACTTACCTGTCCAGTATCCTAGGGGATTCCAAAGTAAACCTTTGGACTTCTATGGGGTTATGTGCCATGGACCTTCATGTGTAATGTAGGGCCTTCATAAATCGAATAGGGTTTCGGGGCCCATTGCACTAAGGACCCCCCAAAATAGTATAGGTAATTATTAAGGCCCCTATATCAATGTGAGAACGGCTTTGGCTGCACTTTGTGTGGCGTCTCATGGCCTATGGTTGCTCTGCTAGAGAATGCCAAGTATCAAAACCGGCAGCCTGAGCTACAACCGCAGGTCTGCAGGTATGCTCGTGTTGGTATGATGGGCTGGAGGCATTGATGAACACTTCATGGGGGCCCTTATCCTATAATGGGCTATATAATGGGTATATAATTGCTATATGAAGGGTATATACCTTGTCATTGAACTCTTGCAGTTGCCCTCAGTTTGGGGAGCCTACTGCATCACGGCATCGCTTGACCTGGGTTGCTTCAGGAGGCGACCCTAAGAAGCTGCTGCCAGGTGCATCGGGCTGGGCGCAAGGCTTTTGGGCCTGAAGACCATATTATGTAAGGCTTTTGGGCCATTTTAGCCTTCAGGATAATGATAGCTAATGTGAAGAGGCGCTGAGCCTGCGGCGTTGCAAGAAACTTGTCGTGTCGTAAATAAGTGGACTAGCAAGCTTTCTTATAAGCGACAATGTCAACCACGATACATAGGGGTCTTTCTTACACGGGAGATTATAGCCGGTTATAGTACCCCAAAAAGGTTAAAGGTCACTTACTCGACTCTACTACGAAGAAGTACTACTAAGAAGAGGAATCGAGCCTTCGGGGTCGGGGTAGCTTGCAAATCCGTGATCCCTGAGCCCGAAACCTAGCAACCCTACGCTACACTATCGTTCCCAGAGTCCCTAATGGTCCATGTACCCATCTATTGTAATTACACTTGCCCTATCCCTCCAAGGACCTCATAGTTAGGGCCCTAGACCCCTTGAGGACCCCGTAATAAGGTCCCTGGAGCATAGGGTTGGGGCTTAAAGTAGTCCCTATATGGGTATGAGCAAGTTTCCTGAGCATTACGGTAAGAAACCGGATGCTGTGGAATGCATCTCCCATATGTCGAAGGTATACCCTAAGGCCCTGTAGTAGTTCCTTTTTGGAGTTCATATTTAGAATCTTATGAGGTAGTCCCAGAAAGGAACTACTACAGGGCCTCTGGGTAGGCAGCTGCTTGTCGTCCCAGACTTCGAAGGCCCCCTTTTGTTAACTTTTGCTTACCCCCACAAAGTAATACCTGCGACAGCCTTCTCTAAATCAAAAGCCGCCAGACGCTGTTAAGGGTTTGAGGGGATATTATACGAAAATGATATATAACATGTCAGGAACCTAATTATACAGGCCTTGTCTGCCCGGAAGCGGCCACCGGCCTCATCACGTGGGTGAAGTCCTGGCTGACTCCGGGTCTCTTGGGATTTCCTGAGATTCCATAAGGGCGTAGCTAGGGTTAAGAGTTAGGGCAGTTAGGGGCCATCTGGCTTAGTTCTAGAAGGATTCTGTAATTAGGGTCTTTGGGTGTACTACCCATAGACTCCAATATCCCTTAATTGAGGCATATACCTTAAATTAAGGTACGGTGATTAATATGATATTAAGGTATCTTCCTTAATTCCATTACAGAGCCCTTGCAGATCCCTTTCAGGAACCCTAAGTTTAAGGAATACTCCTCAATCCCAAAGGCTCCATGTACCCAAATATGAGATACTTAAGCCTTAAAGTGGTCTCTATGTTGGTACTTTGGGGGCAAAGTGTATACTATTTGGGTACATGGATCCTTTGGGAATTAACAGATGTCGGAGTCTCTGGGTCTTTTGGGGGGCTCGAGGCGAAGCTTCGGGGGGTCTCGAGGCTCTGAGGAACATTGGGAGATCTCGCAGGGCTTAGAAGGGCCAGCTTAGGCTAGGGTTTAGGGTTTTGTTTAAACTATGGGTTTAGGGTTTACGAGTTGGGGCCCCAAAAGCTAAACCCTGAACCTTAAACCCAGACCCGAAAAGGCTGAGGTCCCAAAGCCTGGAACTCTGAACCCTCAGCCCAAAGCTTCTGAAAAGACCAGACACGAAATCATGGGACTTAGTCATGTAGGAACCTGATTTAGAAACCTTGGGCCTTTATTTGGGATTCTATGAATCCTACTATTTGGAGGTTATTGGCCCAGGGTTTCTTAATCAGGTCTTTATTCATAAGGTAAGTAAACTGGCACATACCTATAACCCCACACAAGGTAGGTTCTCTTAACCTGACGAATTACTCACTTAGGCCCATGATCCTTCAAGTACAGACTTCGCATGTAGAGCCTTTCTGGGACCCTCCTCCGAACGCATTACGAAGTACTGGATCCCTATATTATGTCGCAAGAGGATCTCTTTGACAACCCTCGGCTGCTGACACTTGATGTATGGAACCCTGTTGTAGTTTTTGTGGAGTACCCCTTATGGTGACCCATAAGAGCCTTTTAAGCATAAGCTAGCCTAAAGCCCTACCTTAGCCCCAAATAACTTGCCCAGTGAAGGACTTCTATAAGGAAATCATATTAGGGAACCCTACCAAGGAAGGTTTCGTAAGATCCAGGTAAGCCCTAAACCCCAAACCCAAAGTTTCGGGTGTAGGGTTCAGGGCGTGAGGGGCTTCCTTTTGGTAGTCCGGAGCCTTTAAGGCTGTGGGGTTTTGGAAAACCAGGTTATAATTAATGGGGATAACCTGCCTTAAAACTCAGGACAATTACAACTGCATAAACATATATATATATAACCATATATGTATATATGTATACATATATACACACAAATATCTATAACCGATTCAACAAGTCTTCAGAAAAGTTCTCGCAGCCCTGTTCGTCGAGGGCCTTACCAGTCAAGGTTCTTTCCGTCTACAAGCCCTGTATCCGTTTAGTGGGCTGCACTCAGAAGGCACAAATCAGATGCATGCGATTACACATTTTTCCGCGCGGGCGCGGCTTTTGGGTTTGATACAGCCTAAGGATGCAGCGCTTTTTCATAATAGGTTCCTACACCACTACCACCACCACGACCATGCTGAAGCTGCCAACGAGTAAATGCACTACTACTACTACTACTACTACTACTACTACTACTACTACTACTACTACTACTACTACTCTACTCCTACTCCTACTCCTACTACTACTACTACTACTACTACTACTACTACTCTACTCCTACTCCTACTCCTACTCCTACTACTACTACTACTACTACTACTACTACTACTACTACTACTACTACTACTACTACTACTACTACTACTACTACTACTACTACTACTACTACTACTAGTACTACTAGTACTAGTACTACTACTACTACTACACTACTACTACTACTACTACTCTACTACTACTCCTACTCCTACTCCTACTCCTACTACTACTACCTACTACTACTCCTACTCCTGCTGCTGCTCTCTACTACTACTACTACTACTACTACTACTACTACTACTACTACTACTACTACTACTACTACTACTACTACTACTACTACTACTACTACTACTACTACTACTACTACTGCTGCTACTGCTACTACTACTGCTACTGCTACTGCTACTGCTACTGCTACTGCTACTGCTACTACCACGACTACTCTTAGTCCTGCTAGCCAACCCACCTAGCCCTCAAAGCCTCAATCAATGACCAAAACAAAGCCGAACGCCGACTGCGCTAAGCTAGCCATGCCGGCTGTTACAGACCCCAAACCTTCAAGCCTACACCTAATAGCTTGAATCTGAAGCTTAACCCCTAAACTCCTAAACCCCACACCTGACCCCACATCACAGCGAGACCGTGTGAGACCCACCTGGTGGGAAGTAGCAGCCCCAGGCAGCATCCTTCAGCCACTCCTGCGACGCATGTATTACCTGAAATATAAAACCCACCAGCAGTGACTGCAAGGCATCTGCTAGGATCCCTCCATGTTCTTATGAGACCACACTGCAGTCATACTGCCGGTAGTACCTCAAATTCTCAATCCTACACCCTAAACCCTAAATCCGACAGGCTAACCCCTGTATCGCAGCCGTGGGCCAAACTATTCCGTTTCTAGAACTCTGGGCCCCTTCTGGGTACTAGGTACTTGGGTCGTGCAAACTACAACAAGGCCTTTGGCATAGTTTAACCCTACATTTTCTGCAGGATTCTAGGGACTACGGGATGCCAGCTTAGATCTTATTAAGGCCCCTATACCATATTATTGTAGATCCCTTATAGTAACCCTTATAAACCTCTTGAACGGAACCCTAAATCTTATCTATCGGGCACCCGGGGTCTTAGGATGAATGCTTGGGCCTTGAGGCCTCGACATCAAGGACTCACATGCTCAAGGGTTCAGGGTTCAGGGTTTAGGGTTTAGGGTTTAGGGTTCAGGGTTTAGGGTTCAGGTTTCAGATGCTTGCAGCATTTCCACCAGCAGCGGCATTTTCACGGGAGTTTCTATCGGGTGCTATGGTGAGAGTGATAGTCTGGGTTGGCCTTTAAAAGACACCCTGAAACATATCTATATATAGGGCCCCTTATAAACCCAAATAAGGAAAACCAAAATGTCCCAAAATCCAACCTAGTAGTATGCTATAGTGGCTACGCCCTCAGGGCTTAGGGTGGCGGACAACTTGGGGCTCCTTGTTTGTCTTACGTGATTTCCTAATCGTAGACGACGAAGTGATGATATGAAGTCCTGCTTTCCTTTGGCGAAAGCTCCTTACGAGGCTTCTAGGAAGTGGCCTTCATTATCGACTCTTCGAAAGTGGTAAGTAAAGCTAGAACTCTAACACTCGAAATCCCTTAAACCCTAAACCCTAAACCCTAATTCCGTCCATCTGCATCCCTAGCTCTGAGCTCTCAACTCACCTATCCCTGACAGCAACATTGCAATCTTGAGCCTTAACCGCTGAACCACAGACCCCGACCAAGTCCTACTTAGAAGATCTGGGCAAGTAGTAAGGGTTTAGAGCTCCGGGTTTAGGGGTTTAGGGGTTCAGAAATAAGTTATGAATAGAGCTACAAGTGGGATAATCTGGTTCAGGACTGCTTATGTTCTATTGAGGAACTACCTGCTGAGTGCCGTGACCCTGTGAGTACCCAAACCGTCTTCATTCTACGAACGAAACTGCCTACTAAATCCCATGACCATCTAAGTGCCCAAACCCTTTCCAGAAGCCTGGCAAAACTCTCCAAAGAACCCTGAAAGGGCACTTGAAAGAACCCTGGCAGAACCTTCAAGGATCCCTAAACCCTAAACCCTATAAGCCCATCGCCTAAGCTGCTTTGATGTCCTCGAGGCGCTTCATAGCGGCCGCCTCCCCCATGGGCCAGAACCTTTCGGGTTTAGGCTCTTCGGGGTTTAGGAAGTTCAAGGTTGAGGGGCTTAAAGCTATATGAGTTTAAGGTTTCGGGGTTTAGGGGTTCAGGGCTTCGGGGTCTAGAGGTGAAGGGCTAGGGGTTTAGTGGCTGGGAGGTTGGGAGTTTTCGGGGTTTACGGGTTTTAGGGGTTTGGAGGTTTCGGGGTTTGGGGGTCTAGGGGGCTTGAAGTTTCGAGGTTTAGAGTTTTGGGTTTGCGCATGGGCTGGCAGTATTTGGGGGCAAGTTTCTGTCCAGTGCACCGCGCTACGGCTGCAGAAGGCCGCTCCGTTTTTCTTTCCAACCCCAGACCGTCTTAGGCGGCCCAACAACCCAAACCTATTCAAGATACCTCAAAAAAGGATACATACCCTTCTCTTCAGGGTCATGTCCCTTTATAGAAGGTACAACGGTTGCTCTAGGTACGCCTAAACTCATCCAAGATCCCTTCCTCAGTCCCCTCTGCGCCGTTCACTAAAATGTGAAGGGCCCTCAGAGGCCGAGGGTTTAGGGATTCGAGGCTTAAGGGGGTTTGGGGGGTTTGGGGGGTTTGGGGCTTAGGGGGTTAGGGGTTTAGGGGGTTAGGGTTTAGGGATTAGGGTTTAGGGTTTAGGGTTTAGGGTTTAGGGTTTAGGGTTTAGGGTTTAGGGATTAAGGTTTACCCACTCCAGGAATGCTGGCCTTAGCCCACGCAGTTCCGAGGTTCGCTAGGAGCTCTACGGCTTTAGATGCGTCAATAATGTTCTGGGGCCCATTGTACTATATGTATAAAAAGGAACCCCTCAGAAAAGTATTGGTAAATATCTAAGCCACTAAAGGACGTTGAAGTCATAAAGTCTACCGAAGTCCTACTTCTGCATGTCGCGGCTCTTGTGTCACTTGCCGCTTCAAGGTATAGCATTTGGCTTGCATGTCGCGTCCCAAAACCCTTAACCCCTAAACTCTTAAACCATGGATTGGCCCGGACTCTGGTTTCAGCCTTTGAGGCTTTTCGGTTGCCGAATAAAGGCCGAAGAGCTTGCGCATCTCGTAAGCCCAATCGTCCTGAGCAAGGCAGTGTAGCTTAACCTCCACGTATTGCGGAGGTTCAGCAACTTAAGGTTTAGGGTTCCAGGAAGCATACATCTGTCACTATCTTTAAACTACGTTAGCATGAACTCGGCCTTGGCTTTAACTTTAGTGTCCGAAGCATTCAAAAGTTTGCCTGTATTCCCCCTCGAACCGATCCCGATAAGAGAAACCGTTACCCGAAAAGCAAAAAGCTTAAACATCCACATGCTTCCTTTACTTAGGCGCTACACAATGCCTCCGCCCTCCAGCTAGCCTGTTCAATAAGCTTCTGGGAAGCATATGCTGTACTTATTAAGATATGCCAGAAACAATAAAGGTAATGAGGGTCCTCCTCCAACACAGCAAAGCCAGCTTGCAACATGGCTTGCCTTCCAAAGGTTCAAGGTTTAGGGCTTCGCGTTTAAGGCTTGGGGTTGAGGGTCTAGGGCTTAAGGCTTGGGAGGCAGAGGTTATGGTTTTAGGCTAGGTGTCAGGTTTAGGGCATAGCATAGCATGGTATACTCATGCAAGGGACGTAGCTACAATCAGAAACTTAAGAAACTCAGTAAGAAGTGAGGGGACGTCGTACTGTTGTTCTACGCTTCACAAAACCAAACCCGAACACTGAACATTAACCCTAAACAGAAAACCACCTGAACAAACACAACGCCAACTCTGAAGGGCGCTGGTTGCAAGGCTGGACTAGATGATGGACACTCGAAGACCTGCATCTTGGGGGACAAGGTTCTAGGAGAGTTTTAATTACGTTCGACGGGTTTACACCAATGGAAACCCTAACACGACAATCTCGTAGACACATCTCCATTCTTTCAAGGAGGTATACCTATTGGGTTGAGGGCGTAGGGTTGATGACTTCAAGGTTCATGGTTTTACCGTTCAGCGGCTAAGGATTGCATACAGTTTCCAGTTCAAATGGCCTGATCTGTCGTCCAGCCTGAGAATGTACCGTAGTCCGGGGCACTCGGGGTCATGCATGATTGCGTCCTTATTCAACTATAGGCTTAAGATGTGGAGTTTAGGGGTTTGGCGCGCTTCACTCCCTTCCATGGCAGCTCCTCATTGGAACTCCCTCAATTGAACCCCGGCCTCTTCTCGTTGAACTGCCGGAAGTTGGGTGGAATCTTCCGGCCACCTTGACACAAACATTCCTTGAGGCTCAAACTAGGCCAAAAAGCGCTGCAAAACGTGGTCTTCATGCCTAAACCCCTGAAATACGAGCCCCAAGCCCTGGGGATTGGATCTGTGGTGTATGGTTTGCCGCGATGGGCTTTGGTTGAAGGTTAAGGTTTCGGCAGATGCACATATATATATATATATATATATGTATATGTATATACCTAAACAATCCTTCGGCGTTTATTTTCGCCGCCAGCGATAACAACATGAACCACCCGCGGATGTAAACATATGTCCCTTCTCCACTTGGTAAAGCTGTGCTCGCTGTTCGAAGTTGGAAACCCTGTATCAAGCCTACTGCTTGCCAGATCCCCTACACCGCGCCTGTGCGGCCATATCCGAGAGCGTCCAGCGGTAGCGACCAGGGCCATTCGGGCGGGCTGCCGAGGCGGCGCACAGCCTGTTATGTAGCGGCGTGGGTGATGAAACTTCGGATGCCATATAATGTAACTAGATCGGGTATAAACAAGAATATGCTTGATAATTTAGACCTCTGTACGTACATATATACGCATATATATGTATACAAACATTTGCCTATACATATACGTGTATACATACATACATTCGTACATACCTACATACATATATCAGATCGATACATACATACATATATATATATATATATATGAGTGCATGTACGTACATATTTATACCACGTGATGGACATTGAGGGATCAGGTTAGCAAGTCTGTGTGGTTGTTGCAAAATTATGCCGTGGACGAGCTCACTACAAGAAAACACTTGCAAATCTACCTGGGTGCTGCTGTGATAATTTCTCTGTTCAGTTACACACGAGGCCAATCCTAGATTCCTGGAGTCAGTTCCGGGCTGCTGTGCGACCAACATACGTGCCGGCTTTGAGGGGCTTGGTGTTATTGTCCCCCCGTGAAGTCCCTACAGTCGCATATTATAACAAACAAACAATCCCGCCCCAAACTGCTAAGGCCCCGAAAGCAACAGTGTCATGACGGTGCCCCGGCGAAAAGCATGACACTTTCGCTGGGTTGGGAGTGGCGTGCCCAATGCATTCTGACACAGATCTCTAGATCTAACTACGGCTTTTGGCTGTCGGACAGGTGGCCCCATAACGTGAGAAATCCGAAACCAACAACTCCTGCCTTGGAGGCTTCTGTCGAAGTTTACACACAATCTCAGGGATTTCGCATTGTAGCCCCACTTGAGGTGCGGTGGCAACATGCCTTGCTTGAAAACCCTTTTCATGAGGCGCAGCAACACAAGTCTCTGAACTTACAGCATGCAGCCCCGCTGATATCTTTCTACCCTGTCATCTCTTTCTGAAACTGAAACTGAGGCAACCGGACACGACATGACAACGTCCCCGGAGGCTGTTGATTTTCACAAGGAAGCCGTGTCGTGTCTTGCCGACAAGTTGCATTCGAAAATTTGAACTTATAGGATATGCTTCAGAAACTCGCTTTGGGTGAAAAGTCATAAATGTGATGGTTTGAGGCTTAAGAGTTTTATCCCTCAGGATTCAAGGGCTCGAGAATTAGGGGGTAGGGCTCAAGGTTGGAAGTTTAGGATTTAGGGCTTGGAAATACGCTTTTCACTTTACTTGACCAGGGCATGTAGCAATCTAATGCAGCAGCCTGAGAAAGACCCTTCCCGAGGTTTTGGAGGGTTCTGCAAGTGGATCCGACTATATGCGGCATTTGGAACGATAGGACGATGGCTTGCCTGCTGATGTTCCGCATGGTAATTGATGAAATACAATAATAACAATAACTGACGATGTTCTGAGTAATTACCCTGAGTGGGTTATCCTTGTCCACAGACGATGAATAAGCCTTCTTGTTTATGTTTACGTGTATGGTGACCACAGTCGTGCCCAGTTACGAATCAAGACTACGTCCTGCTGCTTTGCGCGGTTCACCTGTAGCCTGAGAACCAGAACATGGAAATGTATCATACAAACTTTAGTAGGCTGCTTGGACAATAGGTAGATTCAAAAGGCAGCATTTATTGACAAAAACCTTGCTCCTACGAAACCCTAAACTTGGTGGGAGACATTTGTTTCGCAGCTGCCTAGTGTTTCAGATAATAAGATTAGCAACTCTCTGTACAAGGGCCCGGAAAGAAGAGAACCCCTAACCCTAACCCCGACAGAACTTCTAGATCCGTGCCGGCCGCTGAACCCTGAATCCCTTCACTGGAAAACAAAAGCACGTCAACAATAGCACTGTCGTAGCGCCTCGGGAAAGGGGGGCGCGGGGTGGGTTTGCCGGAGGATCGCAAGTAGTGCAAAGGGCATATGGCTCCATAGGTTGCTGTCAGGGATCAGGAATTAGAGATTAGGGTTCAGGGTTAAGGGTTCAAGCTTTAGGGATTAGGGTTTAGGGCTGTTGCACTGCATATAATCGAATATAATCGCGATCCTACAACAAAGGTCTCTCTTAGCCGAAAGTAGCTTCAGAAAATACTTGTAGTAGCCCTTACAGGAATACTTAAAAGTAAAGTCTTACGGGAACTCTTGATGCGGGGTGTTTCTTGGTACTATAAGTATCCAGGGGCTATCGAGGGATTGTATCATTACTTCCCTGTACTACCTCTTCCGACACCTATACTAAGCCCTGCCCCGAGGCGCTCGAGTGCGTCCTTGACCGTGTTCCGGGAGAGTGGGGACCGTTGGATGAATAGGCTTAGGTTTAAGGCTTTCTGGTTTAGGTTTCGGCTTACTCTAACGGAGAACCCGTACATAATATCTAAACTCCAAATAACAAACCTGAAAACCGAAGGACAAAGCCTCAAATGCTCTCAGAGTGTCATCCTGGTATACCCCAAATCCTGCACTCCGCCCTAAACCCTAAAGCCCTAAACCATAAATGCGCATCTGAACATCAACAGTCCATGACACCCCGAAACCCATATGACACCCGCCCCCGTAAACAAGCTCGAGATTCGTATGACGGGCTTTTCATGGACAACAATACCCTAAGGCCCCATAGCAGTTCCTTTTTGTGGTTCATATGTAGATTCTTATGAGGTAATCCCAAAAAGGAACTACTATGGGGCCTCTGGGTAAGCACTATAAATCCCAAAACCCTGAATCGAAGCACAAAACCAGTAAAACGCTAAACGTCCTAAACCCCAACACCCAAACGTCCTAAACTTTAAAGCAGCCCTTAGGCATCTTATACCCCTACTCAACCATCCTAAACCCTAAAACCGAAACCGCTATAGACCCGAACCCCAAACCAAGCCTAAACCCAAACCCTTAACTTATAGGGACCCTTACAAAGGGTAGGGGCCTTAATGCCCATAATAAGGAACCAGTAAGGCCTATTTAAAGAAGTATATTCCCCTACCCCCCTCCCCCCTTAAGGCTCTTTATGGTAACCCTAAACTCCAAACCCCCAAACCCTAAACCCCCAAACCCCCAAACCCTAAACCCTGTCCCAGAGCCTCAAGAGGCTCCCTCCTCTGCCTGGGTCCCTCCTCTTTTGAGCGGCGCGCCTTCGTCGGCGGGTCGGTGGTTTTTGTTCTTCTTCTTTTGGGGTTTGGGGTCTGTGGTTTAGGGTTTGTTGTTTAGGGGTTGGGGTGAAAGTTTAGGATATTTGGGGGGCTGCCTTTTGATTGCTGGATGTGGTTGTTCCTCATCCCTAAGTCCCATAAACCCTATTAAACCCTAAACCCCAGTCCCGAAAACCCTCATCCCCAAATCCTGACTTCTATCACCCTACGCCCTGCCTTAACTCCAAAAAACTGCGCTTTTTGAAGGACTCATATAAGAAACCCTAAACCCCAGTCCCTAAAACCGAAATCCTCATCCCTGAACTCTCAGAACTTACCTTTTAAAGGACTCATATAAGGGAAATCCTGGTAGGGAGCCCTTTTAAGTCAAGGTTTCTTAGGGTCCAGGCAACCCCTAGCCCCCCAAGTGGCCTCAAAACGGGCAAAAACCTCCGGTTTAAGGTTTAGGGGTTTAGGGTTTAGGGTTTAGGGTTTAGGGTTTAGGGTTTAGGGTTCTGTAGGGCCAAAAAGCCTGAAAACGTGAGTCCTTCGAGCCCCTAAACCCTAAACACCCCCATCAATTTAGGGTTCACGTATCCCTGGGCTTCTCTGTAACCAGTGAGAAAGAAGTATAACTTGTATTTCGTAATGGTTCCTTTAAGAAAAAGTATTAAAGGATGGATCTCCAAAAGTCGAGATCCTCCAAGCGGCCTCCCAGGGCTCGAACTTCATGACCAGCGCCGTGAAGGTCCGCACATCGACACCCAGGCTCTCCACGGCTGTGCATTCGAGCTCCTGCGTTTTGCTTTTTGGAGGGGGGGAGGGGGGGGGGTAGGGGGTTTAGAGTTTAGGGTTTTTGCGGTTTGGTTTATGTATAATCTACATTGTAGTTCCTTTTGTTTTGGCTTAGCCAGTTTTATATTTTGGGTTCTAGACTCTAGACGGTACCCCGAAACGGAACTACCATGGAGACTGTAGGTAAGAGCAGGGTTCTTGTAGAGTTTAGTGTTTAGGGCCCGAAGTTTTGGGATTTCTGGTTCCTTCAAGGGCGGTAGAAGTAGAAGTCCTGGATTAAAAATGTTCTTTTAATAGTTTCGATGTGGGTAGATCTCTAAATTAGGGCCCTTTTTCGGTCACCAATATAAATAGTACGGCACTGTTATAAAGAGGATCCCAACAAGGACCCTAATTTAGAGAACTACCCATGTCAATCTTGGAGTTTAGGGCTCTTGGATGAGAGTATATTATGCGCGGGATAGGATTGTAGGGTTCAAGACGCGATTGTGTTGCGTGCAGGGTCTGCAGCTTACGGCCCTACATTTAGGACTCAAGATGGAAGGTTAATAGGGTTTACCCTAAACCCTGAACCCTAATCACTGAACCTTAAACGCTTGAGGTGTCGTTTATTCTGGTCCCCTAGACCCTTAACCCGGCTCTTGAATGCGTGTTCAGGTCGCTCCTGAATCCATAACTGAGCGTTTAGGTTTTTTAGGACCTAGACCAATCTCCGACATCTGCATGGCCTCTGCGACATGAAGCACCGTCTGACGTAGCAAGTGGCTTGTAGCCCCCGCCTAGGGTCGTCCTTATAGCAGCACTACTGATTGTCTACTTGCTAAATCTCCAGCGGCGCCACATGGTTAGTAGGACTTCTACAAACCTAAGGCTCCATGTACCCATATGGTATATACTTAGGCCTTAATATACCTATATGGGGACCCCTTTAAGGCTTAAGTATCTACCAAAAAGGTACATGGAGCCTTTGGGCAAGGAAATTAAAGAAATCTGTTCCTTGGGGACCAGGTAGCTTGGATGGACGGATTTAAGTTCAACTTTGTACCATTGAACTCTCCCTGGAATCCTAGGGAGCCGTTAACTAGAATGCCCAGAAACCTAGGAATACAAACGGCTTTTCTTGGGTACTTTATAATGAACCTAGAACTACAAAAAGGGAATAAGGGTACTACTGGGCATCCTCGTTAAGGCGGGGACGCGAAGGCTCTCCACTCCTGGTCCCGCTCGTGATGCCATGGCTCTAACCTGAGTAGAAGCATGAGCTTATTGGCGGCTCCAACTTTCCCAAAGGCGCCATGTACTTTTTTGGTAGATACTTAGGCCTTAAAGGGGTCACGATATAGGTACTTTAAGGCCTAAGTGAATACTATATGGGTACATGGAGCCTTAGGGTTTACTGAACCTGAACACTGAACACTGAACCCTGCTAGCGATTTACGTGGTCATCAGCTGCTATTATTTTGGATGAAGCACTGCAGGTAGTGCTCAGCGCGTCCGCGCATTGAGCGCTAGCTTTGGCTTGGTTTCAGCTAAACCCTCAACCCTTACCCGTAACCCCGAACCCTTCAAAACAGTGGATTATGCCCCCTCTACTCAAGGTCTAACCCCTGAAAAGATCCTGAGGTAAACCCGGTAAACCCGAAACCGTAGCTACTTCGACACGTGATCTTGCAGCCTTATAAAGCGTAAGGATTGGGTTTAGGCCTTAGGGCTTATGGTAGGGCTTACGACCACCACTACCTCCAGCCTGAACCCTGAACCACCAATGGCCCAACCCTAAATATTGCGCCCTGGACCCAAAACCCCAACCCTAAACCTACTAGGCTTAGTACAACACCTACATGCACTTTATTGGGGCCCCGCTAAGCTGTCGTGTTGTGAGGTTTCTCGTGGATAACGAAAGCATTAGCTGTCGACTGATGGGTTTAATTGGGATCACACCGAACCCTGAAGCTCCAGTTACCGAATAATAAGTTACTGGGCCACACATTATGTAGTTAGTAACCTACTACTCGGGTAACTGGTGCCCTGCAAGTGACAAGACACAAACCCTAAACCCTACTGGCAGGATCATGGGCCTTAGTAACTATTATATGGGGTTGCAAGTACTTTGCCCTAAGGGTCCAACTAGTCCTTATTTATGGTTTTGGCAGTCCAACCCCAAAGTTCCATAATAGGGGAGTGCTTCGGTTGATGATATAAATCCTGCATGACCCATAATAAGGAATATGCCATAATTCCCATAGTTTAGGGTCCTTAAGGTAATGCAGGATTTATATCATCAACCGTTGGACCCTTAGGGTTAACTAGAGGTACAAGTAATTATGCGTACAGCATGCGTACAGCTGCCTTATTTACAAGCCTAGTTACTAAGTCCCATGAGCCTCCAAGTAAGCCCTGTGGGCTTCGGGCCCGGAGGCTTAGGGTTTAGGGCTTAGGGTTTAGGGTTTTGGGGTTTAGGAGTTTAGGGTTTAGGGGTTTAGGGAATTAGGGAGTGCTCTCTGGGTTTACGGCTGAATGCAGCAGTTTCAGGTTCAGGGTTGGGGGTTTAGGGCTTAGTTTCGAGTGTCGGGTTTAGGGTTTAGACTTTGCGGTTCGCAGTAACTCCCATGAAGTTGCAATACCCCAGCTGCGACGCAAACTCAACCGCGAGTGGTTTCTGATGCTGAGCACAGTGCTGAAGATTGAAGTGAAGTGCTGTCGCCCCAGTTGTGAGCAAAACATCCATCACCTGGCAGGATGGAGATGTGCAATTCTGGCTTGGTCGCTCACAGATTTCCAACTGATCGTGTGCCCCTTGGCTGGAGTCACTGCTAGGATTGACATGAGTGATGCTAGTCTTCATGGTGTCGGGATTAGATGTTCATGCTATAGCTGCTACAGAAGGTCAGGGACGGTTGCGGTCTCATCTAGGAGCATGGCAACAGCGAGCAACTGGGGCAGCAGTCGTGGAAAATCCGGCACAGGTCCACATCTTGTTACACCCATTTATGGAGTGCAACCGGTTGCAAAGCCTGCCCGAAGAATGGCTTGAGCTGTGAAATGAGTCTTAGCACAGCGTCTCCAAAACTACACAACTAGGCTCTGAGGAGGCATTGGGGCCATTGGGGGACATGGGTACTTGGATTACGGTTCTGGGACATACTACAATCTGTATATAGAGACCGTAAGAGGAGCTCAATACTACTACGACTACTACGACTACTACGACTACTACGACTACTACGACTACTACGACCACTACTACTACTACTACTGCTACTACTACTACTACTACTACCACTACTGCTACTGCTACTGCTACTGCTACTGCTACTGCTACTGCTACTGCTACTGCTACTGCTACTGCTACTACTACTACTACTACTACTACACTACTACTACTACTACTACTACTACTACTACTACTACTACTACTACTACTACTACTACTGCTGCGTATTCAAACCTCCATATTGGCACGGGCTACTCGCCTCCATCTGAAAGACAGCCCTACACCCTGAGTATCAGTCTTTCCCCAGACAGCTTCATCTTTAACCACTTATACGGCTTGAGTCTGCCAATTTTTTTGCGTTCAGGGTTCCTGAAAGCAAGAGCTTGTTAATTCCATGTCTTGCCTCCCTTGTAAAAGCTTCTCACACCCAGTGAAGCCAGGAACCTTTGTCAAGAACCGCATGCTACGCATGCTACTTCAGCCAAGCATACCAAGATCCTGCAACTCTATACGCCCAAGCCCGAAATCAAACGCAGCCAACCCCGTGAACACAACAAAGCAAGTTCGTAGTTGTAGAAACGTCACATCTCATCGCTCACAACCCTACTTGGAGGATCAAGGGACTTAGTAAGTAAGGGTATAAGTACCCTAATTGAAGTTGTAAGTTATAAGTATAGTTACCTTATTTATAACCCTATTTACTAAGCCCCATGACCCTCCAAGTAGACCCTAAACCCCTAAATCCCTATAGATCCCTTATTATAGAACCCTTTAAAAAAAGAGCCCCTGCAGGAACCCTTTAAGGAACCCTGAGTCCCATGATCCTCCAAGTACCCTATCTTTTCTTATAAGGGTTTAGGGTTTAGGGTTTAGGGTTTAGGGTTTAGGGCTTAGGGCTTAGGGTTTAGGGTTTAGGGTCCTAGATGAGGTAGGTTGTAGGTGGGGTCAAACCCTAGGCATCCAAATCCCATCGCCTGCTCCACTAGTCTTCCCTTCCGGTAGACGATTTTGCTTCCCAGCGAGCGTAAAGAGCTGTCAAAGTGCTTCAAGGATTCCTCTGTTTACTCTGCGCTTTCGGGTGTTAGGCAAAAAGGAACTGGGTTCAGACTAGAGTTTCTGGTTACCGCAGTGCGTTGTTTGCAGCTTGTGTTTGCTTTTGGCTTCGTTTGCTTTCGCAACGGTGTTAGTAGGTCTAGTAGAACGGGTGTAGAACGGTTTTACCAGGGTCTTGCGCGGTTTCGTCAGGGTTGCACGGGGTTGGAAACACCAACTCAATAATTCCTACTATAGTATACTAGTATCGCTAAACTGCAGTAAATTGACGGTTGGTCCAGGGTTGAGCGTTGCTAGAGTCCACGGTTCAGGCTTCATTTTCAGGCCAGTGTTGGCTTTATTGTTTTCGTTTCAAGGTGCGACGGCCTTTCCCTCTCTTGTCCAGCCTGCCTCCATCGAGGCTTACGCCAAAGTACAGATTTGTGCAACAACAAACATGGGACGTCCCTTGAGCTCTCACGATGAACATGACCGCACATTCAGCAGACTAGCACTATGACCGTCTGCTCATTGCCCTCATGGGTGCCAGTTGTAGGGGTCGGGTCATGGACCACTTCAAAGACAAATGACCTTTGAAACTTAGGGGCCCTAAACCCTTATACAAAAACCTAGAGGGACGTGTCGTCCTCAAGGCACACCGCCTGGACCCAAGGTGAGCCCAGCTGCGTGACGCCACCACAGGCCAGCGCCGCGTACCGGCCACGGGGACGGATCTGCGTCGTCGTGCACATATAGGGGAACCTCGCGGCAGTATCTCCCACAGGATTTAGGGTGTCGGGTTTAGGGGTTAGGTAGCTAAGGTCTCTATAGGATTAAAGGTAAAGTGGACATGCGCAAAGGCTTTATGAACAAGAATATTTGTTGAGGCTATAAATAATAAACACCAAGCACCGCCGAGGCACTACCCACGGGTGCATCGTAGCGGCCGTGTGCAGTGCAGGATTGTCGTGCAAGCGACAGTCGTCGCGGATGAGCACTATGCCTGAGCGCTAATGACGTCTACGACTGCCACTAGCAAAATACGACAATTGCTGCAACCACCACCACTACGACTACCACCACCACCACTACGACTACGACTGCAACGACGATTGTGACGACTGCGACGACGATTATGACGACTACGACGACTATGACGACTACGACTACGACGACCACGACGACGACGACGACCACGACGGCTCCTGCTCCTACTCCCACACTCCTGCACTCCTGCTACTGCTCCTCCTCCTCCTCCTACTACTACTACTGCTGCTACTACTACTGCTACAGCTAGCTCTGTTACTACTGCTACTACTGCTACTGCTGCTGCTACTACTATTGCTATTGCTATTGCTACTGCTACTGCTGCTGCTACTCCTGCTGCTACTGCTACTGCTACTGCTGCTGCACCTACTTTGACTACGACTCCGACTCCTACTCCGTCTCCTGCTCCTACTCCTGCTCCTACTCCTGCGCCTAGTACTACTACTACTACTACTACTACTCCTCCTCCTCCTCCTGCTCCTGCTCCTGCTCCTGCTCCTGCTCCTGCTCCTGCTGCTGCTGCTGCTGCTGCAACTTCTGCTACTGCTGCTGGCCCTGCTGCTGCTGTTGCTGCTGCTGCTGCTGCATCTGCTTCGATTACTACAGTACAATTTTTGTTAACCTTTTTCTCGCGTCCTGTAGGACAGTTGGAATCACCATACAACTAGGTACAACCTTGCTAAGCCGAAACCCTGAACCCAAACCCTGCACCCCAAATATTATACCCCGAAGCGCTATATACACTGCACCCTAAAACTACGCTCACCACTGCAAGCCTGTCTTCCAAGTGAACCCAAGAACTGGACAACTGCATCTCCGAACCCTTCGAGAACTTTGCCTGAGCATCTGCAACCTAGGGTTTAGGTTTAGGGTTTAGGGTTAGGGCTTAGGGTGAACATTTACATCATCCCGGACACCCCAAAGCCCTGATCCTTTGAGGAATCTCGCGAGGCCGGAGGCCCTAGGCAAAGAGGCGCCTGACTAACTGGAACAGGTTTAGGGTTTAGGGTTTAGGGTTTAGGGTTTAGGGTTTAGGGTTTAGGGTTTAGGGTTTAGGGTTTAGGGTTTCGGTGGACAAAACACTTCTCTGTGTGACGATAGGGGGGAATTCTCACGATTGATTCCCAAACCCTTATGAAAGCCTAGGAAGACACATGAAGCTGTTTCAAGGCACCCTTGCAGGAGATCCTACGACTAGTCATTCAGAACTCTGCTGAGTTGTCCTTTAAGCCCTTTGGAAATAATGTAGTATTCTGGTTCTCTACAAAAACAGTAGGGAAAATGAAAAAAAGATCCCCAAGGACAACCCAATCTGTTAAACCAAAGAGCAACCTCAGTAGATCCCCTAATTTGGGGCCCTATACGACTAAGGGTACTTTACAGGAACCGCCATTAAGGGATCTACTTTCTGGATTCTTCCGGGGGTCTGGGTTAAGCCAAAGGGGCAACCTCCCGGCTCTGGATCGGCTCCTGGCACCTCCCAGTGGAAGGTGGGGCTTTGGAGTTTTGGGGTCTTGGATTTAGGGGCTTTGGAGTTTGGGATTTTTGGGTTGAGGGTTTTGGGGTTTAAGGCTCCGTACACTCTATCTTTACTTTAGTAAGTATCATGATGATATTGTGATTGGTAACGTGCCCCGAGAATATCGAAAGGCCGCATTCGATTTTGCAAAACCCCTCAATTCAGGAATGTACCTTAAAAATCAGTCCTATTATACATATATATATATATATATAACTCAAAGGCCTGTATTAACAGCCATCGCCCGGGCGCCTCCCCGCGCCGCGCTGCGCGGCGCCGGGCTCGGCGCAGGTTTCGCTGCGCGGCGCCAGAGCTGCTGCCGCACGGAGCCTGGCTTAGGTGTTTAGGGGTTTAGAGTTTCGGGGGTTTCGGCCTAAGCCCCCTAAACCCCTAAGCCCCTCAACCCCTAAACTTTAAACCCCTCACCCCTAAACCCCTTCGCCCTGAACCTTAAACCCCCAAAACGCCGGAATCCTAAACCCCGCAACCCCTAAACTTTAAACCCCTAAACCCTAAACCCCTGAAGCCCCAAACCCTGGCCTTTCTGCCGGCCGAAGTCTCCTCCGCCCGCGTCACCGCGTCTGAAGGCTCGGCAGCGTGCACCTGAAGAACCAACTTCGGGGGCGTTTGAATCTGAACACGTTTAGGGTTTAGGGTTTGGGTGAGGGTTTAGGGTTTTCGGGGCCTTTTGAAGCTGAAAAGTTGATAGAAACAGATACTATATCAAGACAAGAAGAGGTACGGGGCCTTTCGAATCTGAAAGGTTGACATAAAAGATAATGAATCAAGAACAAGAATAACAAGAAGAGGTCTAATAGTGACAAATTGGTACGAAAAAATAATCTATCAAGAATAAGAATAACACGATAATAACACGAAGAGGTATAATCGTGACAAAGTAGAGGCCTGCAAGGACGAGATGTTTCGCATGTAGAGCTCTGGGGTTAAGGATTACGCTTATGATACGATGTCTAGGACTGCAAGCTTTGGGGTTAGGGATTGGTGTCTGAGCATTTCAGGCGTAGGTCTCGCTGCCAGTGCAAACTCTCGAGTCGTCTGCACTTTGCGAAAAACAGCTCTTGCCGGATCGTCGCGGGCCAGCTCCCCTTTGGGGTTGTTGTTTCGCCGACCCTCATTCACAAGCAGCACTTCAAGGTTCATGGGACTTAGTAACTAGGGTTATGAAATCGGAAACTACACTTATAACTAGTTATAGCCCTAGCTACGATACTTATAACTGTACTTACTAAGTCCCATGAACCTCCAAGCAATGCTTCCCAGAGACTCCAAAGACCCAGGAATATACCCTAAATCATCTTAGGGATCCTATTACAATTTAAGGTATATTCCTGAACTAAGGGGTTTTGGTATAGATCCCTTATAAATCTCTTATAGATCCGTTAAAGGAACCCTAGGTAGATCCCTTTAAAGGGAAGTCTCTGGGTTCTTCAGCACATCGTCGCAGCATGCGCAAGAGAGCAGGGTAAAAGGATGGCTTTTAGCGCCTCCGAGGCTCCCGGCGCCTCCGGTACCTTTGAAGGGTTGCAACAGACTCCAAAACCCGTTAAGGGCTCCTTAAAGGGATCTATAAGGGCGCTATAAGGAATATACCTTTATTTGTATAAAGCGTGAAGCCGTAGAAAACCCGGCAAACATTCTGCAAAACTCGGAATCCGCGGCACCTCTGGTCCAGTCAACCGAGCACGATTGCTTGAGCCGATGCCCAGTGAAGACAGCGACACCTCTGCAGGGTGTAGGGTTTGTTGGAGTGCATAGCAGTAGAGGTGATGGTGTTCATGGCGGTAGAAGAAGTAGTAGTAGTACTAGTAGTAGTAGTAGTAGGAGGAGGAGGAGGAGGAGGAAAAGTAGAATGTAGAAATAATGGAAACGGTAGGGGTAGGACGTAAAGCAACAAAATTCCGAATCGTTGGACCCACACAGGAGCCTTAGAAGGGACCGCAACAGTCCACAAAAGACATCGCGATTGGAAAGAGCTCCCCTACTCCGACCTCCTTTCCATGCAGCCCAAGGGCACCGTCAGGAGCCAAAGTGACACCACTGTCCACAACACCCTGCTCCTCGGCGAACGGACCCTAAGGCTCCATGTATCCATATAGTAGATACTTAGGCCTTAAAGTACCTATATAGGCACCCCTTTAAGGATGAGTATCTACTATAAAGCTACATGGAGGCTTTTTGGGGAGGAAGTTTTTTTTTAAGTGCACTGACCCTCTCTCCACTTCTGCAGCGTCGAAATGGAGGCTAAGCCTGCCACACATACGGGGCTTGCACTACACTGGGGAGGAAGTTTAGGGTTTAGGGCTTAGGTTTCCTAAACCCGATGCCTTGGTTGACTGTTTTGATGTTGATACATTGACATCTGAAGCATGCCACAGTCTGGACATGCAGCAAATAGTACAACAAAAAACTCCTACACCCTTAAATCAAACACCCGAAACCCCCAAAAAGGCTGAAGATGAATCAGTCGTTCTCCTTTTCGTGTTCCTGCTGTTGATGGTAGTAGATTTGCAGTGCCATTATACTGAGCGTGGAAAGCAAGCCTGCTACGTGATAGTTTGCCGTGTGGTCCTCAGTTGTGAGACACTTCATCAATGCCTTCGGCACAGGCTCAGCCGATCCTACTGATACCTATGCACCTTCCTATCTACCTTGCTGCGTACTCCGCCTACCTGATACAGTATTTGGAGACTAAACGCCCTGAAGGTGATGTAGCCTGGATACAAACCGTTACAAACCTACAGGCTTGATCCCTGAAGCCTGAGCACAGTTCCAATCTGCGTCTTAGTGGCTCTCATGGAATCATCCAGCGTTCGGAAATACATCTTCCGGCCATCTGCGGACTTGCCAGGATCCATGAAGGACTCACCTCGCCAAGCAGGTTTGGCACAAAGATCAGAGCAAATTCGCGCACTTGCCTGTATGTGTATCTGTAACTTTTTACAACTATATATACAAATACACATGTATACGTGTGTATATATATACACACATATTTATACACATACATGCATACATACATACGTACATGCATCCGTACTCACGGACAGACAGAAAGAGAGAGATACATAGACACCGAGGTGCAGAGATACATAGGTACTGGTACATACATAGATGCATGCATACATATATATGTACATACATACATACATACATACATACATGCATAAGGGTACACACACATGTATATATATATATATATATATATATATATATATACAGATCTGTATGCACATCTATACACCTATGCACCTACATATTTGTATCTTTAGGTCCACACACACACATATATATATATATATATATGTAAAAATGTATATGCACACAAGCGCCTCTAACACATGTATATGTGATCATATAAGCAGCTTCCGGTATGTGTCTGCATACCTATCCATTTGCTAAGAGCCCCCGTGAAGGATACTTGGGATCTTAGGCTAGAGGGTTTGAGCATGGTCTTTAGGCCCTAACATGCCCAAACCAGAAAAGCCCATAACCTTATCCCCGTAAACCCTAAAGCCAGAGACCTACAAATCCGGGCCCCAAACCTGCAAAACTGCGGATACCGCAAGTACCACCAGCCCCCCAAGCACCCTTTAATTGATGCCTTATGGTCCTTGATAGCGGCTGCTTGACCTCTTACAATGGCTGGTTGGAGTGGCAAACACCAGACTTCAAGAACCATACGAAACCCAAATCCCCTAAACACCAAACCCCTCAACCCCAAACCCCCAAACAACAAAAACCCTCAACCCAAAACCCTAAACCCAAATCCCGATCTCCTAAAACCCTCAAACCCTGAACCCCAAAACAAAACGTAAGCCTAAAGCCTCAAAACCAAAACTCAAAACCCCACAACTCCCCAAACCCCCCTAAACCCCTAAACCCTAAACCCCCAAACCCCCTAAACCACCAACAAATCCGCAAATAGAAGGCTTCGGGCTCCGCTGCCTTCGTCGTCCTGGCCCTCGGCATTTCCATCTGCCAGGTCGTCCTTTGGCTTCACAGGGCTGAGGTTTAGGGTTTAGAGGTTTACAGTAAACTACAGAAGGTTGGAACATCAGTATTCTAGGACCCCTAGGCTAAGTTAAAAAAGGAAATCTAGGGCAAATCACCCCAAATCGATGTTCCAGCTTTCTGGGATTCGCTGTAGGGGTTGAGGGTTTAGGGGACAGGGGCTTGGATGTAGGGCTCAGGGTTTAGGGTGTAGGGCTTAGGGTGTTTAGGGTTGAGGGTTTAGGGTTGAGGGTTTTGGGGGCTTGGGGTGTGAGGCTTCTGGGGTCTGAGGTTTGCGGCTTAAAGTAGAAGCCATGAAGTTGGAACGTCATGATCCTCCGGCCCTTACGGTAAAGCATAGGGGGATCCCAGCACCCATCATCCTAAGTCCATGTTTCAACTTTCTAGGATTCACTACACGAACTTGAAGGGCTCAGAGATTAGTTGGGGCTAATAGTTGGTTTTTTAGGATGCATTGCGGTTGAATTGGGTTTTGGCTTTGGTGCCAAAGGCCTTCGGGTTTAGGGAGCGGTTAGGGCGCTTGGGAAGATCCCCAAAGCCCTCAACCACGACAGCCCTGAAATCCCGAAGCCCCGAACACCCTAAGCCACAAACGCTAAAAACCCGAGTTTTCCTAAACATACCAAGTAGGATGTCAAAGGGATGATCAACCTTGGGCAGCAAACTCCACATTCCCTAAGCCCCCTAAGACCCGTATAAAGGCCTCAAGCTCTAAACCCCACATTCCTCAAAAACCCCTGCACCCTGAAATGCTCAACCCGAAAACCCTACACCCCAAAAACCCTAAACCCTAAACCCTAAACCCGAAACCTGACACAAAATCCGAACCCGTAAACTTCTCGAGACGATAACACGCTGAACATCGCTGAACCCCCAAAATTCCCAGAGAAGTTAACCCCTTGAAACTTGGGTACGGCCCCCATACAGCAAGAGTCTACAATAGGGCTACTATTAAGGTCCTAATATATCTATATTATGAATATTATAGGGCTACTATTAAGGTCCTAATACATCTATATTATGAATATTATTCAACTATCACTGAGAGGGGGGCATACCTAACGTGAAACCATTCAAGCCTCGAGCCCTTGAAGGCCCAAATCCCTACCAAAGATGCTCTGAAGAACCTTTATGACATGATTAAAGACCTTCTCATATCCTACAGAAAAACCTCGAGGTTCAGGGTTTCAAGATTTAGGTTCTCTTTGAAAGTGCATTGGACTTTTGATTACTCACAAGCAGGCCTGGTTCAGGCGTGCACTCGAAAAGAAACAGCAGAATATCGTCCGTCACTCGTTCAAGACGAAACCCTTCATCACGGATCCCGACTACGACTTCATTCATTTTGCCCTCCTCCTCCGAAGGTGACCCCCACATTCTTTCCATGTGTCCACGCGGGGTTTAGGGGTTTAGGGGTTACTTGGAGGGTCGGGGCACTTAGTAACTGGTTATTTTAGGGACTTATAAGTACCATAACCCCAATTAGGGTCCCTTTTAGGGTACTTATCAGTCTACTTACTACCTACTTACTCAGTCCCCCGACCCCCCCCAGTAGAGTTCGGAGATCTGCAGCAGAGTGGCCCAGTTGGCCGGCGAACTTCCCGGGCCGAAAGGAAGGGACGCATAGCCCTGGTGGGGCCTTGGCCTAAACGCTAAACCCTAAACCCTAATTTCGAGCTTATCAAGGGTTTGGGGTTTAACAGTTTGGGCTTAGTGTTTTTGAACGCTAGGATCTAGAGATTAGGAAGGGTTTAGAGTTTTTGAAGGTTTAAGAATAAGATTCACGAATCTTTAAGGGTTTAGAGTTTTTGATGGCTGAGTTTTTAGAGATCAGTGAGGGTATAGAGTCTAGGGCTTTCCAGGGTTCAGGGCTCAAAGCTTTGGAGGGTTTAGCGTTTGGGGTTTCGACCGTCCTGAGGTTTTGCAGGGCTCCGCAAAGGCATTTACAGGAAATCTGTTGTGGTTCAGGGTTCCTGTCGGGTGCTTTAATAGTCTTGTGGGGCTTGGTGCCGTTTAGTACTGGTTGTATATGTGCATTTTCCAGGGTTTTACCAAGGAAGCTGCGAACGGCTTTGCAGGGTTCCCACGGAGCCCAAGGCCCGTCGATTCAAATGTCCCTCAAATCATATTCAGAAGTGCTATGTAACTACCTTGTGGGCAGGATTTTCGGCTAAGGTTCAGGACCCTAAGGGTCCAAAGTACCTATATAGTAGAATGTAGGGCTTCTATATTAGGAATTACTAGTATGATTTGGGGAAGTATCCCCAAAACAGTACCTATGACCCTTTGGAGATTTGGGCTGTTAGTAAGCAAGGGTTTTGGCGGCTAGGGACTGTGGCTTTCCGGTGCCAAGGAAGAAACTTAACCCTAAACCTGTCCAGCCTCCTCATCTAGAAAATGGGAGATCACCCTCAACCCCTAAACCCCAAACTCCTAAACCCTCAGCATAAACCCTTAGAAAACCGTACAGAACCTTACCCTGCCGAAGGGTAAATGTATCGATTTGTTGGAATCATATCCTTTTTGCCGGTACATTGGTTACTCTAGGTCCGTAGGAAGGGTTTGGGGCTTAACGCTGAACAGTAAACTCTCAACCGTTTCGGGTGTGGGGCCTACTGTTTTCTGCCGCATTTTTCTGGGATCTGGAAAGGGGATTTGGGATTGAAGCAGAACACTTTAGACAGCTTGAGAGCTAGGTTTGCTAGGATGTGGTCGGATCTGGAAACTCTAGCGATAGAAAACCCTAAGGGTCCATGTGCCCAAACAGTATATGGAGAATACTTTAAGGCCAAAGTATAAACTATTTGGGTACATGATGGTACATGGACCCTTGGGGAAAGATACTCTGGTCCAAGAAGATGCCACAGCCCACGAGCCATTCAAGGATCTGGCTTCAAAGGGTTTAGTGCCACAATGCGGCGTGTGTAGACAAACCCTGCCGAGGATCACAACCCTAAACTCAAAGCCCTTACACTTCATTAATTCCGAGTTTAATCAAGAATCCTTAAGAAGTACAGAACTTCTGTAGAAGCCCTACCCTAAACCCTAAGCCCCTAAACCCTACGACGCCAACTTACCAAAGCAACCCTAAACCCTAAACCCCAACCCCTAAACCCCAAACCCTACGACGCCAGTTTACCAGAGTGGCTGTGGGGTCTCCACAGCATTTGCCCAGCGCCGGCGTGGCGCTGCGGCTTCCGAGGCTCCTTCCGCATGAGTTTGATATAACAAGGGCTCCTTGAAGGGGGTCTATAAGGGTCCCTTAGGGTTCCTTTAAAGGGATCTATAAGGGTCCCTTTTAAGGTTCCTTCTAAAGGGGCTATAAGGGTTACTATAAGAGCTATACTGTGAGAGTTCGAAATAATTTGGGAACATACGGGCCTTAGCAAGTAGAACAGGATTCCCTTTGACGGGATCCTGTTAGGGGGTCTTTCAGACTTTCAGGCTTCCTTTACGGTTCGAAAAGGGTTTAAGGGTTCAGGGATTTAACTTAGGTTACCATAATAATTCGGGGTGACAAAATGAAGGGGCCTTACTAATTAGAATAGGGTTCCCTTTAAAGGGTTCCTTTAAATGGCTCTATAAGGGGGTCTCTATAGTAGGATAACAGTATTGGCAAATATTCAGGCCGCTATAGTTATTCGGGGTCGAGGGTGTGCGGATCAGGGTTATATAGTTATACGGTGTCATACTATCATAAGGCCGCTACAGTTTGGTGTCTTGGAGTTTTCAAGATTTCTGAAAGTTGTTACGCAAGCTTTGTTTTGTCAGTGAAGGGTTGATGTACATGTAGCTTCAAAGACGGCTAGTGTATGTCATGGGTCAGCCGGATTTTACACGAAAGAAGCGTTCAGGGAAGGTTTTAGAAACTTCTTGGGGGCGTTTAGAAACTTATTCGTGGTTTTGTACGGCCGTTACAGCCGTTTATAAGGATTGGGAACTTGGGGTTTGGGAGTTCTGAAGGTCTGCTTGAAAAGATGACCGGTCAGCCACGACATTCCAAAGTTTAGGGTTTAGGTTTTAGAGTGGCGTGAACTTTGAGGTCAAGCATCTTAGGGCGAACCTTGACCCTCCATCAAGACGGTTTAGGGGCTTAGGGCTTAGGGTATTGGTCACCTTGACAGTTAATGCTCTTCCATATAACTAGTCACATAACTATGCAACTGAAAGCCCCTCAGCCGGACCTATATAAAGCTGCGCTCACAATAGTTGCGATTCGCGGTGGTGGACAGGCTGCACAAATCCGCTCGCCAACCATGCCTCTACTTCTGCCGCCCCAAGGACGCTGCCTCCGGCGCTGTATCTGGTCGAGCGGCAACACCTGGGAGAGCGACATCTCAACGTGCCTCCCAAGCGTGTTGCGGTGGTGCCGCGCTTTGACGAATCGTTGCGAGGTGCACATACCCTAGCTTCTTCCGGATTCAGCCAACATCGAAAATCGTCCGTGGAATGGGAAGGCCGCTCGCTGCCAGCTGCTCAGCAATGTCACTGTCGGCATCACAGCACATCGTCTCTGCCGGCTCTCAGGCACCTACACAAGTCCCAGAGAGGATCCCTTGACTCCAAAACCTCTAAATTGAAGCCCCTTACAGGTAGGTAGTTCCTCTTCCATAGTACTCCCATAAGACCCCCTTTACCTTATAGGAGTGGTATGGGAGGCTTATGGGAAACTACCCACCTTATAACTACCCACCTGTAAATGTCTTAGACTAAACCCAAACCCTACAGTCGCAAACACCAAACATCTAGAACCCTGAAGGTAAACCCTGAAACCCTATCGCTTTAAACACCATATACCTCAAACCCTAAAGCCATTCCCTAAAGCCAATTATCAAGCCCTAAAGATCCCCCAACCAACCCTAAACCCTAACACTCAAGCACCCATAGAATCATAATAAGACGATGCTTCTGGCGATTTCTATGACTTGTACGATATTTGTCCATAAAAATCATCCAAGAATCCCTTTAAAATTTTGTTAGAACAGAAACTCCAAAGGATGCTTATGCTTAGGAGCAAAATCGCAAATGGTCCAAGTATTGTTATGGTACACACTTAGACCCCCCCCCAAATACCCTATAAGTATATACCAGAATGATACTTGGACCCTTTGGGAGACGAAGGCGCTAAAGCCTAAACCCTTATAGATCCCTTATAACACCCTTTAAGGAGCCCCTTTAAGGAACCCTTAAAGGAACCCAAAGTAGCAGGTACTTCTGTTGAGGATATAAATCGTGCATTACCTTCAGGACCCTAAACCATGGGAATTATGGTATACTCCTTATTATGGGCAATGCAGGGTTTATATCCCTAAACCCTAAACCCTAAAACCCCTATAGATCCCTTAAAGGAACCCCTTCAAGGTACCCTTATGGATCCCTTTAAAGGAACCCCCCAGGATTTATATCATCAACCCTTTGGGCAACCATGAGCAGCCCCAGCTGTTCCTTGCTCTCCCGCTGGCTCGCTTCCCGCTTGCCGCCAGCGCATGGCATCGAGAGGCGAGCCCCTTTTACTATAGGGGTTTAGGGTTTAGGGAACCCCTTTTACTATAGGGGCTTTAGGGCTTAGGGTTTGAGGCGAAGCCCTTTTACTATAGGGGCTTTTAAAATAATTACCTGTACTATTTTGGGGGGGTTCCTTACTATAACTACAGTATAATGGGCACCAAAACCCTATTTCAATTATTAAGGCCCCTTTTACAGCAGTGCAATGATTAGGGGTTTAGGGTTAATGGGTTTACCGGTTTAGGGTTTGAGGGTCTAGGGCTTTAGGGTTTAGGGCTTCGGGGTTTAGGGCTTCGGCTGGAAACTGAAGGCTTCTGCGTTTAGGGTTCATGTACCTTTATAGTAGATACTTAAGCCTTAAAGGGCTCCCTTTATACCTACTTTAAGGCCTGTGTATATACTATATGGGTACATGGAGCCTTAGGGGAGCACAAGGTTTCTTTCACTTAATATTGCGGGCCTCGGGGGGCTTTAGGATTGATTCAGCTAAAAGGCTTATGCCCTGCTCTCAAGTGGAGCATCTGCTTGCGTGTTTGCAGCTGAAACGGCAACCAGTTAAGGGTTTAGGGCTGGGGGTCTAAAGCTTAGAGATTCAGGTTTAGTGAGAAGGAGCTGCCGGACATGCACAAAAGCCGCAACAGATTTGTAGGACGTTTGGCTTGGGTTGTAGTCAAGATCCCTAAGGGTCCAAGTAATCCTTATGTATGGTTTTTGATACCTAAAAAGGCCCTACAGTCCTATCATAGGGAGTACTTGGACCCTCTGGGGATAGGATGTTTGTGGATTGGATTTTAGATGGTCCAGTGAGTAGGGTCTGAGGGTTCAGATTGCGGGAACCTAAAGTAGAAGCCAGAAAGTTGGAATATTATTAGCCTAACCCTTTTAGGGTACATTACAAGGTATCCTACCCTTAAACCATATTCCAACTTTCTGGAGTTCCCTTTAGGGCGTTGTTTGCTGTCGTTGCTTTTTGCCCTCGTTCTCGTGGTGCGTTTTGTTTTGTCGTCCCCTTGGCCCGTTGTTCTTTTGCTGTCTTGCTAGGCCGGGGTTCACTCACTCACTGGCTTCCTGTGTTCCCGCGACCCTAAACCCTAAACCGGCAGCAACAAACACAACATAAAGCAACCACAGCAAAGAACTGAGGGTACGTAGACTCCAGGAATACCGGCTGTCCTTGAGGATCCACGTACATATATATATACTATATACTTACCGGCCTTGTGTACCTATGTAGGAACTCCTCTACTGAGGCCTATATAACTGTATGGGTACATGGAGCCTTGAATTTAAACCCTAGAAACCCTAAGCCCTGATGGTACCTGCAGAAGAACCCTTGAAGGATTTCTTAAAGGAGCCGCTTACTCTAAAGGCACCCCTATAGGCACAAGAAGCCTCAGCACTGTAAACCCTAAACCCTTGTGGTATCCTTATAGAACCCTTAAACAGGTTCCCTTAAAGGGAAGCACTTAAAGGGTACCCCAAGGGTCCAAAGGACCCAGTAATCAGGTACTCGGTTTTAGGCTATACCCGTAGGGGTGCATGCAGCAACCCCCTTTGTAGCGATTGGATTGCGGCGCCTTCCTTCGTCCTATCAGCTGGATCAATCCCGGTCTTCTAGTCACGGTTTTGGGTTTTGGATGCGGGGTTTTAGGGCATCTAGAAGATTCAGATCCAATGGCCTGATCGTTCCAGGATACTTCAGTTGCAAGACCTCAAATGCTGTGGGCATTGCAACTGTCGTCCCCCCCCCATATTAGAGCCTTCAACATCACCTTCCTAAACAAAAGAAACAAGGCGGCATACCGAAAAGGGCGCAAGGAGTTTTCTATGTGGTCCAGAAGCCAAACAACACCAAACCTGTGAATTAGGCGCTGGGAAATCATGGCTGCAAAACCTTAAACCCTAAAACCTAAACTTTAGCCCTAAACCCTAAACCAGAAATGCACACTGCTGCGCCGGGTGCACTGAAGAGACACCGCGGCGACGTTTTGCCCTTCTCGTTTGGAGAAGTCCAGCGTCATCGAAGTCAGAATCAAAAGGGCTTAGAGTTTGAGGTTCAGGATACGCATGGATACGCTATGTTACGGATCCAAGTGCCCAGAGAGGCGGGGTTTAGGCACCGGAAAACTATTTGATACTTGGCTAGGATCTCCTCGTACGGAGGCAAAGCCAAACTCCAAATCCCCAAAGCCCTCGACAGCTCAGGACAATATTGTAGGGGCCTTAATAATGAGAATAGGGTTTGGGGGCCGATTATACTGTCGGTAGTTGCTTAGGCACCTATATTATCGGACTACTGTTTAGGGTTTAGGGTCAGCTAGGCTGGGGCTTTCTCGGCTCAGGGAGACAAGGCTGCTTGACGATTTTTTTTCTCTTTTAGCTTGGGTTCCAGGTCCAGCGACCCCTCTCGATTCTGACTCACTTCGCTTTCGATATCAGAGTTTTGTAATTATATGTCAGGAGCCCGACGATGATGATGCCCAGCCTTGGCGTTGCAGGTTAGGGTTTAGGGAGGGGCTTGGGTGAGTTGGGTTTAGGCTGCCACCTGCGTTGATTCAGGATCGTAGGCTCCCAGATTGAGCTGCTTAGTCGGGGTTTGAGATCCCCTAGCACATTTTGTGGCTGAAGCAGTATACTTGCTGTTGTTCAATTTCTCACCAACAAGTTTACGAGCATGCAGTTGGACTCGGTGCTTAGGCACCTGAGGTCCCTCTGCGTTACTATCCGTCAAAACACGAATGATGCTGAGCGAGCAGCTCTCGTAAGTTGAACCCTAAACCCCAATCCGTCAACCCCCGAATGTTCTAAGCCTTCTGTGGCACCATCAAAGCACCCTAAGCTGCTGGAGTTGAAAGCTCAGCCCACAGAAGGCCCCAAACGGAAACACGTGACGCCCAAAGCTACATAAACTATGCCCGAGCAGACCAGGATCTCATGCATCCTCCCCATGACCTCTCGACCGACGGTTTGAAAGGACTAAGATTAGGGTTTGCCCAGACGCCCCATAGTAGTTCCTGTTCACAAAATTCTAAGTATGAACTACAAAAAGGAACTACTATTGGGCCTTAGGGTCGGGTTCAGACAACTTCTGGCAGTGAAAGGTTAACTTCGAGCCGGCTTTGGATCTAGTTCTGGGCTGCTTTTCGTCGTTATGGCTTAGGGTTTAGGGTTTAGGGTTTTATGGAAGTAGGACTCTTTTGACTGGTGGCCCAAGGACACACAAGCTACACACTCGACCAAAGTCAGAAGGAACCCCATCAACACTCACAACACCGACATGAACAAGTCAGGAAGTACACGATACTAGAACTTTTCAGGGGCTGTAAATGCCCGGAGCCTCCAAAACCCCTTAATTAAGGAAAGCGTAAATTAGAATATTAGGATCCCAATATCATTTAAGGTATATTCCTTAATCAAGGGCTTTGGAGGCTCTGGGTTTTTCTACCCCTGTACCCTATGTAATTTGGAGCAACTCCCATAAGCCGCAAGACTCGGCAATGCCCCAAGGGCTTTAGGGAGCCGGAGCGCAGAGTTCTACTACTCCGGTCCTAAGCGCAACACCCGAAACCCTAAGCCCCTACCCAGAGGCCCCATAGTAGTTCCTTGTTGGGATTACCTCATATGATTCTAAATATGAACCACAAAAAAGAACTACTCTTGGACTTTAGGGTAAAACCTAAACAAGACACCCTAAACCCTAAAGCCCCTAGACCCTAAAGCCTAAACAAGAAACCCTAAACCCTAAGCCCCTAAACCCTAGGCCCCTAAACAAGAAACCCTAAACCCTAAGCCCCCAAACAAGAAAACCCTAAACCCCTTATAAGCCCCTAAACCCTAGGCCCCTAAACAAGAAACCCTAAACTACTTCAGGCAAAGTGGCCCCAGAACGAAGCTCCATCGGAAGGTGGCGGCTCCAAGAAGCGGGAGGTTGAAACAGAAAAAGAGCGAGACCAGGGGTACCTAGGCTTTGGGCTCAGGGTGTAGGACGCAGGGGTTTTCAGGGTTTGGGGTCTATAGCGGTCTACGTTTATAGGGTTGAGGCTAAGGGTTTCAGATTTAGGGCTTGGGCTCGCCGCGCTGGTGCTTGGGTTCTCATCCATACAGGCAGAGGCAATAAGAAGCGTTCCACATCAGTGCAGGCATTCACGCGTTCATGCATATACATATACATGAATAAGTTTTTAGAAGCAATGAATACGATTATATATATGTATGTATGTACATATATATATATATATATATATATATATATACACATGCACATGAACCAGAACAAACGAAGAAGACAAAGCAGGTCCTGCTCGTGCCACCGGCTATCGTTGGTGTACACTACGAAGCGCAGGCCGTCGGCACGGCCCTCTGGCCGTGCACTCCTGAAACTACTCCCTCGTGCTTAGCAGGGAATGGGGGAATGGATTATGGAGACTGTGCTTAGTAGGGAATGGCGGAATGGATCCCTATAGTAGTCCTTATTTAATCCCCAATAATAGTCTCCATAATCCATTCCCCGATTCCCTGCGAAGCACGAGGGAGTATTTCTAGGCACCTCCCAGCTGCCAGACGGAGGCTCGGCTCCTGCCCTGATTTGGGCCAAGAGCCTTCGTGAGCTCGAGGTCTCTGGAGAGGAACACGTACTAGGTGCCAGGGTTTAGGGTTTGGGGCTAGGGAGGGAGAGCGAGAGAGAGAGAGAGATAGATAGATAGAGAGAGAGAGACAGAGAGAGACAGAGAGAGAGCGAGAGAGAAACAAACAAAAAAAGCGACAAAGGGAGAGATGCTAAGAGCGAGAGAAGCCCTGAGTGAGAGAGGAATGGGCCTAGTAGAGTTATACGATTCCGAAGGCTCCATGTGCCTGAATAGTAAATACGTAGTTTACAAGGTACTCGTTGGCCTAAGTATATTGTACTACACAGGTACAAGGAGCCTCTGCGGAAAGAGTCGAGTCAAACATGCTGAACCCGCGCACACGCGTGGGTGCAACGTCTTTTCCTTTGTGCTTAAACCGAGGATTCGAGTTGACAAGGTTCAGGATGTGCGGTTCAAGGTCGAAGGCGTACATAATGTCTCAAAGGATCGGAAATCTGAGAACTTCAAATCAGGCTAACCAGCACAGCAGTTTAGACCGTCGGCCCTAAACGCTGCAGTGCAGGAACCTAAAGACCTCAAAGAGTAGGACTCTGGAAGCCCACAGCCCTAGAACCCACAAACCGTCTACAAACAGCTTGAACTAATAGCGGGGCATTTCGGGGTTTGTTGTAGTACCAGCACAACCATAAACAGGAAACCTGAAGAATGTAGCACTAATTATTCAGACCCCTATCTCAGCAGTCGAGAGATCACTGCTTCAAGAAGCAGGAAGCTTAGCCCACGGATTTTCCGAAGGGCTTGGCTTGAAAAAAAAGGGGCCTCAATAATTACCAACACTATTTTTTTGGGGGGGATCTTTAGTTTAAGTATAGTATAATGGGCCCTAAAACCCTTTTCTAAGTATTAAGGCCTTATAGTAGGCCTTTAGAGTTGACGGTGTTCGGCCTGTAGGGTGTTGTGGCTTTGCGATTTTTACGGTTTGCTCCCCATGTAAGGTATGCAGCAAATGGATTGTTCGGAGATCCGTCAAAAAGAAGCCACAACCCAAAAAGGACGCAACCAAGAAAGTAGCCAAGCCTTGTAAGAGTTTTGGGTGTAGGACTCACAGAAACCTGGGACACAAGTCGTATGCTACAGGGGCATTGCAGGTTTTCTTCACTAACGGGCTCCTATTAGGGGCTTAGCGCTTTGGGGGAAGGGGGCTAGGTTTTCAGCGGTACTTTCGGTCTTTGCACAGCTTTAACAAGGCAGAAACTAGCCATATGTCTGTCTTTCGAATACGTAGTAATCTGGCAGGAGGAAAGCCATAAAGCTCATTACGTTCGACGGCAGAGGCAGACCCCACCCTTGGCGCGACCTGGGGCACCCGGCATTCAGAACATTGATTAGCAAGAAGACCTCAGCCCGAGGGAATGGCTATTGAGGCACAGCATCCCCTGCACATCCTGCACCCCAAACCCTACACCAAGCCCTCTGCCCTGAACAGTATAAGCCTCAACACCGACACCCGAAAGGCTTGGACAACAAGCCAGCCCAAGATCAAACTAAAAGGGCACGTTTACCTCCATAGTACTATAGTATATACTTACGACTTTCCAGGCCCCCCCCCCCCCCCCCAGGCTTTTTGAGAAGGAAACCCTCACATCCAAGAAGACGAAGACTGTCAGGAGAACTAGTTTTGCAGCTTGGTATGTTGCGTATTGGGAATACCCAGTGCCTTCAAAACCCCTTAATTAAGGAATACACCTTAAATTCTATTAGGATCCCTAACATAATCTAAGGTATGTTACTTAATCAAGGGGTTTTGGAGGCTCTGGGTATACGTTGGGCTTCAGAATATTTCACGGGGAGTTCATCCCCAAAGGGTCCTAGGTAGTGTTATGGGAGATACTTCCCTAAATCATACTAGTAATTCCTAACATAGAAACCCTACATTCTACTATATAGGCACTTTGGACCCTTAGGGATCGCACTTAAGGAGTATCGGGCTCTCTGGGTATAGGTAAAGCGGATAGAAGGAGTACGCGTGGCATGGCCTTAATGTGCCGACTGAGTCGACCCTGAATCCCAAAGCCCCAGCTCCGAACAGCAAATCCTATAACCCCTAAACCATGAACACCTAAATCCTAAACCCTATGCGTTTCGCTACCTAGTCCTTTAAAAAGAACACCAGTCCCCTAAGCGATGGGTATAATTACTCGCCATTGTAGGACCTTGGGATCTATGGTGTGTGGGGTTTAGGGTTCAGGGTTTGGGGCTTTAGGGTTTAGGGGTTTAGGGCTTTAGGGTTTAGGGGCTTTTGGGTTTGGGGTGTTATTTACTCAGAAACCACGAAATTCCCTTCTGCCCGAAGCAGCTTCAAAGGAACGATCTGTTAGATCTTCTCAAGCGACCGTATGGTGTAGGATTGTAAAGGCTGCTTAACCGCTCGGCTCCCGAATCGAAGGCAAGGACAATGCAAAAGTCATCCAACCTTTGATGCCTTGAAGGCTCAAGGACAGCAGTCGAGTGAGCAAGCAACCGAGCATGATGAACGCGAAGAACTAGCCCCGCACTCCCAAAGCTCTAAACCCTAAAACCCCAAACGCCAAGCCCTAAGCACTACCCCAAGGGTCCAAGTACCCAATAATCATATACTCTCCAAAATCAGAACCTACATAACTACTATCCTAAAACCGAGCACCTAATTTAATTATGGTCCCTTGGAAATTGGAGGCTAAGTCCTAAAACCCGAAACCGAAAGTCTCCAGGCCTGAACCCAAAGTCCTACGGCCCTACCCTAAGGGTCCAGGTATCTCGTGAGGAGGGTCCGGAATCTCCTAGGAAGAGACCTTGGGTCTCTTTGGGGTCTCCCTAAAGTCTTAGGACCCTTAGGGTAAGCCCCGAAGCACTTTCATCTACTTCCCCCCCTTTTTGACTTCCTAAGTTGGTGCCCTTTTTGGGCCTTGGTAGTTTGTTTTAGTTCTCGGGCTTTCGGATCCCAAAGGGTCCAAAAAGTATCTACACAGTAGTGCGTTATGGGTTTCCAGAATAGGAATTACGATGATAATTTATAACAGTACCTAGGACTTTTTGGGGGGTGTAGAGTTTAGGCCGCTGTAGATAGAGTTTAGTGCTGAATGTAAACTCGACCTTGCCAAAGAGATGTCGAGTAAGGACACGACGACTGCTGAGAGTTGCTTCAGCACGCTTGTCGTCGCTGCCGTATAGACCTTCGGAATGTCAGAGGCGTAGGCTTTGGCTTTGGGGATTCGGCTTTAATTGCCCAGGGCCTCCATATAGAATACCAAAAAGGTAATTAGGCCCTGCACAGACCATCCTTGTCATGAGTTTTTGGGATCTGTTTCCATATAATGGTAGTACATGTGGGGCCTCTGGGTTAGGTACAGTTTAGAGATTTGGGTTGAGGGCCTTCGGGTGTTGCGTTTTCGGGAGCTGGGTATCACCGTTTCGGATTCAAAGGGTTCAGCTTCAAACCCTTTGACAATGAGATTTGGAAGTTTCCGAAAATAGGGGACCCTAATGCAGTACTGTAAACAGTAGGATCCTGATTACAAGGACCCCAAAATAAAGTACCCCCATTTTCGGAAACCCCCATTAGGGAGTATTCAAATGAACTTTCAAGGAGGCTTACATACCAGGTTGCTTGTAGGTGTACGGTTGAGGGCTGATGCCTTTTGTTATGGGTCACCATGCGAGATACTATAAGGGGTAGTGACTACAATGGCTTTACGGCCCATGTGCCCCAAACAGTATATACTTTGACCTGAAAGAAATCCCGGTATAGGTACTTGAAGGCCAAAGCAGATTTTTCCATGAACCCCTAGACGACGGCCCTGAAATCGTAAAGCAACAACAACACAACGGAACCCCAAGACTCGAGCCGTGAAAACCCAAAACCTCGGTAGCTGGCCAGATTCACCACCAAGTAGGCCAGTAGCCACGGCCCGGCCGCTTTAAATGCGGACAAGGCGGAAGCGAAGTAGACCTTTGTTAAGGGTTTAGGTCTTCGCTTGTTTTTTGAGAGCTCTTTTCCGTCTGCGCGTGGGTACTGCTTTGGGATTTTAGGGTTTTGGGGAGTTTGCGGGCTGAGGGGGTTTAGGGTTGCGGCTGTAGGGTTTAGGGCTTCGGGGTTTTGTCCATAGCGTCTTTAGAGTTTTCTGTAATGCTTTACATGGCCGCAATGGCTGCAATGGTTAAGGTTAAAAGTCGAGTTACGAGAAACCCTGAGCCCAGAACCCTAAACCCAGCGACCGAGGATTCTTCATGAGGGGTCGAAGATACAGGGAACTTATGGGCCAATGGGGATCGGAGTTTCCGAACCAAGGAAACCCTAAACCCCACACCTTACACCAAACTCTAAACCCTGCCTAGACTCTCAAACTACCCTTTAATAGACTTCAAATGCCCAGTATTCAGGGCCATTAGGGCCCCATTAAAGGGCCATTTGGGGGCCCCGGTAAGGAACTCTTGTCTTGATAGGAGCCTAAGAGTTATGACATCGTTGATTGTAAGATTTTAAATAAGTGTGTACGCAGGCTGTAGTCCTCGGTTGCTGAGTTCCCTGGCCCCAGAAACCTTAACCCTCGAACTGCAATAAATCGTCTCGGCTTGTATACACCCAGACAAGTTAACTCACACCGGGTCGTGAGCATCGAAAAAAGGTAAGGGTTACATGCTCAGCTACCCAGGGTAGAGTAAAATCACATATAGAGACCTCAAGGACCTGAATACACAAGAACAGGGATTGTGGAACCTACTCGACTGCCGGCCGAAAATCATCTATGACTCAGGCCACATCGCATAATATAGGCGCCTTAATAATTAGAATAGGGCTCTGGGGCCCATCATACTATACTGATAGTAAGGAACCCCCAAGATAGTATAGATGGTTATTTAGGGCCCCAAAAGTACTCGCAGAAGCATCCCAACATCCTGCAAATGCCAAGGCAGCAGCAGGAACGCTCAACTTTGTCAGAAGCGCGAAGTTTACCGGCCAGAGCAGCATCAGCGTGAGCCTCGGGAAGGTTTAGGGCTTAGGGTTTAGGGCTTCCCCGGTGTGGTGCTTGTTGGGTTTGGGGCTTGGGGATGAAAGTTTGGGGTCTTGGGTGAAATTTGGGTGTAGGATTGAGGGTGAAGTGCTGTGGGGTGTCTGATTTTGCCAGTTCTATCCAGGCCTGACAGGTGCAAGTACCGAAATACCAAGGTCTTGGCACCGTTCAGACTGTACCATCTGGGATCTGCAATAGGCGACTTATTGGATTCTTGGACCCTTTGGGATAGGGTTCAGTGTATAGTATAGGAGCTAGAGTCTATGGTTGAGGGTGTGCCGCAAGCCTGCATACAGGCTTAATAAACGAGACCTCCGCCGGAACAGACCCTAAAACCACATGCGTGAACCCTTAGCCTTAAGCCTATAGAGCCTAAATCTCACTTGTAGCTCCAGGCCCTACAGCAAAGCAGGATGTGACACCAAAAGTATGGGGTCATTGGATCCGCAGGCAGAAGCACCTGGGGCTGGCAAAGTGGTACCTGTTGGATGTCATGCAGAAGCTGAGCGGCGATTGGAGGAAGTTGAGAGAAGGGTTCTCACGCAAGCACCGGCAAGAACCCGTCCTTTTTCCAGAACGATGCCACATACCAATACCCTGAGGGTCCATGTACCCAAATTGTGTATACTTTGGCCTTAAATTAAATTACTCCCTATATAGGTACATCAGGCCCAAAATATATACTATTTGGATACTTGGACCCTTCGGGATACCCTCCGGTCAAGTTGAACAACTCTGATGGCTCCGGTCCCTTAAGAAAACCGGAAAACAAATCATAATAGGGAACCCCGAAAAGGAAGGTTGTATAGGGTCCAGGTAGAAGCCCGAATCCTAAACCGTACAAGCCCTACAATTGAGGGTATAGGTTCAGGCAAACTATGAAGCACTGAACCTACATTGGCTTGCTAAGGAAAGTCGGTAAAGTTACCGTACTAGGGATGTGTGGCAGACAGTGCCGTGTCCGTACGATGGTAAGACACTTCAGGGTCTTAGAAATCCAGTAAGTAACGAGAGGTAACGTAGGGGTCTTAATAATTAGAATCGGGCTTTGCTGTATATTATACTATACCCTAAACCCCTGAACCCCAAACCCTGATCCCGAAGTAAGAAAGAACCTCTCAAGACAGTATTATATTGGTAATTATGTAGGCCTCTGTATTACGGCCACTGTAGTCGTCCATGACCGCTTGAGGCGAAGGGTTGGCGCTTCGGGGCGGCCAAGTAAGGTACTCCCAGAGGCTGCACATAGACTACCATTATGGAATTAGGTCCCTGAATCCATAGTAAGAATGGTCCTTTGGGACCTAATTCCAAAATGCTAGTATATCTGGAGCCTCTAGGACTGATATTGGAGGTCAAGACATGCTGCAGATAGGTGGTTAGTTCTTTTAGGGTCGAGGATTCAGAACTTGGCGACAGTGAATGGCGAACGCAGGAAGAGCCTGTGAAGGATTTAGCCTTTAGCCTACCTTTGGTTAGTAGGGAATGAAGGAATGGGTACTATCATACTTAACTATTACTATCATTCTTCCATTCCTTACTAACCAAAGGTAAGTTAGGCCTTCTTTGGGAGCTAGGGTTTAGAGCTCTGGAGGTTTAGGGATCTTTGGGGTCTAGGGCTCATCGGGACCTTTGGGTTCTTTGGGCTTTGGGACTTAGGGATTTCCAAGCCCCCAAGCCCCTAAACCCTAAACCGATTCTGCAAGGCCCCCCGGCCCTTGCCAGATGGCGGTGGCGAAGTTGACCATCTCTAGATTCAGCTCTCCCTGGGCTGTCTGGCTCGTCTTTTAGGGTTTAGGGTTTAGGGTTTGGGGTTTAGGGTTATCCTTATGGAACCCGTATTGGATGCCTTGAAGGAGCCCCTGTATAGTACTCTTGAAGGAACCCTATTTGGGTATACTGTCCGGTTCTTAGTAGGGATCGGGGGAATGGACCCCTGTAGTAGCCCCTATATAAAATCCCCAATAAGAGTCTCCATAGTCCATTCTAAGATCCAAACAGCTGGATGATGCCGGGGTTGTGAGTTGTGGATTGGGGCGACAAGAAAACATCTCAGTTTTTTGTAATTGTTCCTGGTCAGGTCCGCTTTCCGTATGTAAGAAGTCTTGTCAGATTCGCAGTGAAATAGTAACTAGTAGGTTTCACCGATTTAAACAAATGATGGTTGATGCAGGCTTTGTAACGTTTAGCATGCATCCTTGCAAACAAGTGCTAATGGACCCTACCCTAGACCCCAAACCCTAAACGCTAAGCCCCAAGCCGTGCTTACCTTTCAAAGGGGATGACCGGCAATAGCCGAAGGGTCTGGAGGATCATTCCGAAACTCTTGCAAGCCCTGGTGGTCCATGCGCCCGATTAGTTCAAACTCTGTGCGAATAAGGGGATGTTATAGCTCATTTAGCCAACGCAGATCTAATTGATCAAACCCAGCGGCTTAAGTTGTAGGGCTTCATGAATTAACCAAGGCGATATAATGCTTGCCTGCATAAATGGAACGGATTTGCTTCTTTGGGTGGCAAATGCCGAAACCGCAACGACAAGAGAGATCTCAAGGGAGAGCTGTTGCGTGTTTTCAGATGCCTACATACCGCCACACCTCCAATCTCACCTCCAAACCCTAAACCCTAAACCTTAAACCCAAAACCCAATACCAATGCCTGAACTGCAAGCTCCAAAACATCGAAGATCGAACTTAACCTCGGACTTAAATTTCAATCCCAAGCCCTAAGCAAGAAACATGTTCCACAACTGTGAGATCAACATCCCTGTTGTGCTTATCACAAGCCTCTTCCTCATCACTCCTCTCTTTGCGCCAGCGCTTGAAGAGCAGGAAGGACAGCTCCTGTGGTTCTGGGGCCATGGGGTTCTTCTGGGTTTATGGGACTATATATGTAAATCTTTATATGTGCGCAGGTGTGTGTGTGTGTGTGTGTGTGTGTCTGTGTGTCTGTGTGTTTACAAATAGGCATATGGCTTCATATGCATATAACGAGTTACTTACTTATCTAGAACTGCAACACCTGAAACAAACGATGGCTTAGGGTTTACCTTGACCTCCGAAGCCTACTTTTTGGAGGGCTGATAGAAGGATATGCAATTCGTGAACCTTGAAAGGGGTGCTTCGGGCTTCTCATCATAAGGCAACCCAGCCATGTAGTCGGTAAGAGGTTTTCTTTGAGGGATCTACAGGGCTTCCACGGTTTAGGGTCAGTTTGGGGATTCTGGGCTTACAGGGTTTTCGTTCGTAGAGTGTTGGGTCTTCGGATTCTGCAGGCGAGCCGAACAGCCGAGAGGCGGAGCAGAAAATATGCTATCCAGATCAAGGTGCCACAATAGGTGCTGTAATTCGGTGTCGGGGTTGCGTATATGTAGCGCCGTGATCAAGATAACTCTCTGCAAGGTGCTGATACATCCATGTAGAACTCACTTTCCGAGCCCCCTGAAAACGAACCCTCACAGAACGCTGGAAGACCCCATGCAACTGCGCAAGATACTTTATCACTCGCATGATCATCCAAGTACGTAAGCCCAAACCCTGACCCCAAGCGGGGCTCTTTGAGAACCAGAGACAGGGCGATGAAAGCATATGACAGGAAGAGGCCAAGAGCGGCAAAAACGTGGCCACTGCCATTGAAGGCCTTGCATAGAGGTTTGGGTTTGCGGGCGTAAGATGCGGGTAGGGACAGGTTTGTACCTTAAGTGCAGAACTAAGTGACTTAAAGACCCAAGGACTTCATATGTTGGATAAAAGTTTCTATCAACTTAGTAGTCTGCTTTTCACCTACCTTCTAAGTCTAGTGATCCTGCAAGCTCGCAACACTAAACCATCAGTCGTGGGAATCATCCTATCACAGCCTTCACCCTTTGGCCTTAAAGTGCCTCTAATCGCCTTCCTTACAGGCTTAGCGCAATATGGGTTCCTCAATAGTTAGAATAGGGTATGTTATATAGTAATGCAGTCTTAACAGGAACCCTGAGGAGTACTATGGGTTTTTATTCAGGCCGCTACCTTATCGCCCTTACGGGATCCTGCCCACATACTAATTTTTGGTTCCTGTGGCCTTGCAGTAGTCCCTGCATTCGTGCTGTAGGGCGACCGTGAACACCGTATGGACAAATGGGGGATGGATCCTGTCTCAGTATGCTTGCAACACCCACAGCCGACAACATTTGAGTTGAAGGCTGCAAACGACCAGTCCCCAGTCGTATAAAACGTCCTTAGAACTTGGGCCTCCTTGATTTCTTGAGGAATATTTCTACTTAACAGCACAGGTGGGCTGGTCTGACTTCGGATGGGGTTTGGGGTCGAAGCTTGGAGGCCATGTGTAACTTCAGTAATGATCAGCAACAGCAATGGTAGCAACAACAGGAACAGACACGGAAAACAGCAATAACATCAGTGGGCTAGCAGGGGTAAAAACAACTGAGCAGAAAAATGTCGACAACAGCCACCATCATCACATTCTCAGTACCAGGATCACATTCGCAGTCACGGCTGTTAGCATGATCGCAACTCCATCAGCATCGACATGGTCACCCTCATCATCATCATCATCATCACACATCGCCTGCACCATCAGCAGCATTGTTGAAGTTTAACACGAGGAGCTGCACGAGGAGTTTAACTCGGTCCCAAAACTAGAATCCCAAAAAGCTTGAACCACAAAAACTCAAACCCTGAACGAGCTCGTGGATGCTTGCACGTAAACCTGCAACAGAACTGCGAGACTCTAAGGAATATAATTTAAATCATTTTACAGACCCCTGGGATGATTTCAGGTATGTTCCCTGATCAAGGACATGTTGGAAGGTCTGTCGGAGGCCTCACAAGGTGGGATAAAGGTAGGTGGGATTAAGGATCCCTTAGTATAAGGACTCTTATTTGGGAGTATCCCACCTTCCTTCATCCTATTACTATTATCATTGCTATTATTACTGTTATTATTTTTATTAGTACTATTATTATTACTATTAGTATTACCATTACTATTGCGATTATTATTACCTTTTGAGGCCCCCGAGTCTGGATCTTAGCCGCCAGCAGCGCCAACTGCCTCGCCATCAGCGCCTACCAAATTCGGCCTGGCTGCTGCTTGGAGGGTCGGGGGACTTCGTAACCATAAGGGGTTGCTTAAGGGCCCCTTTAAAGGGATCTATAGGGATTCTATAAGGGTATAGGGTTCAGGGTTTAGGGGACTTAGTAACTGGTTATTTTAGGGACTTATAAGTACCATAACCCCGATTAGGGTCCCTTTCAGGGTACTTATAAGTCTACTTACTACCTACTTACTAAGTCCCCCGACCCTCCAAGTGGGCTCCGGGGAACTTCACGGGTTTTGAGGGGCTTGAAGGAAGATTTTCGGGGTAGTATCGTGTAGTCCTACTTGGAGGTTCATGGGTAGTTATAAGTAGGGTTATAAGTTTATCACACTTACAAACCCCACTTATAACTAGCCATGAACCTCCAAGTATATGACTGCACTCTATTATACTTTACTATTCTTAGAAACCTAAAACCTCGAGCTGAAAACCCCATCGCAGACCTAGAACCGTCGAGGCTGGTTTCGCTTGGCAGTGCATGCACGTGTCTGTCAGAGGATTCTGGTAACTTGTCTCTTGGAGTCCGTGGGTGGAAGAAGCCGAAGAGCTGATGTTTAAAGTGAGGCCTTAATAATTAGAATATGGCTTTGGTGTAAACTTTGATTAAAAGAAAGATTCTGCTGTAGGGTTCCTATCATGTACCGGAGCCGAACATGAAAGGTCTGGATGCCATGGAAAAACCCGAATTGTGAAGTGTTGGCGGGTTTCCGAGAATAGGGGACCTTAACATAGCACCTTAAATATGCGGATCCTTATTATGAGGACCCCAGAACAAGGTACCCCTAATTTTCGGAGACTCCCATATGGTTTACGTGCCTTGCCCTAAACCCTCAACCCTATGGTTTAGCTGCCCTAGCCGCAACTGGGGATCGCGCCACGTGCAGATGCCAACACCGGCAGCGACCACAACGACGCCCAGCACCTGCACTCCACAGGAAGGCCTTCGGTGTCTAGCCCCAAAGTACGGTTGATGATATAAATCCTGCATTACCCATAATAAGGAATATACCATAATTGCCAAATTTGGGGTCCTTAAGGTAATGCAGGATTTATATCATCAACTAGTATTGGTAACTATCCAGGCTCCTATATTAGATCACCCCTGAAGCCCCTGAGGGTTTTTGGCCCGGCTTAGGTGTCAGATTGAAAGAGAATCCTGTCGTCATCCAGCATCCGAGGGTGTAGGGTACTTCTGGCTACAGCGCGGACGGCGGCTACTATTACAGCCCTGAGCCTGTATGGCTGTATGGCATATACACAAATAGACGGCTTCACATATGTCACCGCCCAAACAGCAAACCTTTGACACCCAACAGCAGGCTTCTCTAGGACCCGAAGGGCTATAAGCCGAAGAGCCCCCAACTCAATTTTGATCTTGGTGTAGAGTTCAGGTCATCCTACGCAAACACCCTACGCGTGAATCGTCGCCTTCCATACTAAGTTTCCTGGCGTAGCACAAAATGAGGCCTTCCGAGCTAGACTACTTGGAGGATCACGGGACTTAGTACTCAATCTGATTAAGATTCAATTCAATTCAATTCAATGGCCAGGCTGATCCTCCGACGGATCTTAGAAATACGGCGTGAGTGCCACTACCCCGAGGGGTCTACGGCCAACACGTCCGTATGTGTCAATCAGTAATTATAATTCCTGCCACGCCGCGCCATTTTAGCCGACTCAAGTTTGCCAACGCTGGATGATGTTCACCATAACACTAATGCGGCTTCTAAGGCTGGTGACATCTGTAGGCAACGAGAACAACTGGCTTTGTTGGAGACTCGCAGCCCTGGCCAATTCCAATGCTTCATGGCACTCAGTTGCCAGGTGCACTGTAAGATTGGCCGGCTGGGCTCCACACAACAAGCAACGTCGTTCGGAAACCGAGTGCTCAGCTCCTCTAAACCACCCTTCGAAAAAGCCTCGCCCTGTCAAGACGGCCAGAAACCACACCTTGCAAGCTTTCAGCATTCTAGGCGTCCACAGCAAGGAACGTGTGAGCTTAACGGTGGCTCTTAAGTCTGCTGGAGGTGCCCATGCCAACTTCGACAACGCTTCCGCGCGCCAACGCTCTTCCAGGTGCTTGATGACTGGGACAACACAATGGCGCTTCCAATGCTGGATGTGGAGTTTAATCAGCGGCGCGGAGTTCACCTCACTGGGCAACGTTTCCCAGGTCGGTACGTTGGACACTCCAAGCGACCACGCCACACCTTTAGCTGCATCCACCCACGTAGGCCCAGGCACTGCCACGGCTGCTCTAACTGTCGTGTGCAAGACATTGGAAGGTGGGAGAGTAAGAAGACGAGCCAATGAAGTAACGATCCTCATGGCAATTTTAGCACTTAACCGCCAGGAGTACCCGAGCCACAGGAGCACCAGAACGTAGCCTCCTTCGCCAAGAGACAAGGTGGAAAGACCCAACACGGCCTTGATGGCTTGATAATGCATTTGGTTCAGTTTACGGCTAATCAGAGGCCAGCCTTCCGCACCAGCCGCTAAAAGCTCGCAACCGAAAAGCGCTGCGCTTTCCGCCCTCAGCGGAAACTGTTCAGCGTGCCACGAAATCCCCAAACCCTGTGTGTCGAGAGATTTACCTAGATCAACAGCAGCATCCTTAAGACGGCTCCCTAAGGTTGACAAGAGCGAGTGCAAACTGAGGTCTGCTTCCAGCGGCGTGCCCAAGATGTCCAGCTGGTTGACCACTTTAACCGCTTCACCGTCCAGTGTGGGGAGTGGCAATTCGGCGCCAGGCTTCACCCACACAAAGAAGTGAAGCCGCCTTTTTGCCCCCTGCAAACCTATGGTGCCAAAAGACGGCAAACCACGACATCGACCCGCAAACCTTATACAACCCCCACGGCGTAGATTGCAGCACAAAAGCATCATCTATGAACTGAAGCAGCAAAAGATTACTTTGCGCAGTCGCGTCTAGGAGGAGCAAGGCCTCTTCTTTCGACGACGATGGACGCAGCAGCGTCCGAAGGTCACTCTGCGACGCTTTGGGATTGAATTTCTCGGCTGCTGCCCAAAGATCACCCCAGCTCGGTTCACACAAGCTGTTGGTTCGTTGCTTGTCTCCGAGGATGCAACCAGTTACAGTAGGGTCGTGTCCTAAACCCACCCCTACTGACGAGGAGCCCACGGCATCCGCAAGTCCCTTGGCAAAAGCACCAAACAGTTGCACTGCGCTACGACCACCCTGCCTGATGCCATGGTTCAGAATTACGAAAAAAGGACCGAGTAAAGGACCCATCCTAACCCTTGCATGATCCACTGCCAAGCAACTGTCTAAGAACAGCCAACCGTTCCCGTGGATACCTGCTTGCCAGGCGTGGAGACGAACAGCGTCACGCCAAGCAAGGTCGTAACCCTGCAAAAGATCCGCCTTCAAAGCCAAACTCGGCAAATTAGCGTTCCTACGCGACTGCAGTCCTGTTAGGATGCCCAGCGTTACGAGAACTGGGTCCATTTGACCACCCACCTGCGAGGAGCCTGCGTACTCTATCAAGGATTGTTCGTGGCTCGCCTCTACTGGGGGGCAGGTGAGTTGGCCCCTGTGTTCTTGACTATAGCACCTATTGTCTACCATAGATTTGAGCTGCGGGGGAACCTCGGAGCTTAAGAGCTTGCCGCAGGTGTCGTTGTATCGCGCATGGCTTTTGCAGTAGAGCCCTTTCGGGGGCAAGCTTGCAAATAACTGTCTTTCGACAAAGCTTCTTTTGCCAGGCCCAAAATCCTCTTGGTAGCAGCCAGATGGTGCGAACAGCGCCCTCCGCACCCGTGCGACATCATCAATAGAAGTTTAACATTGCCCATTGGGTTCCGGAGCCACACAGAAGCTCGCTGGTGCCGGTCGCAAGCTCCGAAGCTCCGGATTCTGGTTCAAAGGTCAAGTATTTCAACTGTCGGCTCAGTTTTCGGGTTCCAAGGATTCCAAGGAGTTATTGGGCCAAAATACAAACATCAAGATGTCGCAGTCAACCAAGACTGCCTGGTAGAACCTGAAGGAAGCTTCTGTTCAGATGTGGGCACTACCGGGCTGTTGCATGAAACGCCACCACCCGTGGCTTGCGCACTGCTCGCATATCTTATTGGGCAAGGCTGAGGCAGGACACGGTATACGAACTGCGGATACAATCCGATCCCATTATTTCAGTATGAACCGGTTGACACAATGAAGTTAATATGCTTGGTCTCCCGCTGTGTAGTATTTAGTAACAGGAGAATTTGTGGAAGATGCAGGGGGCCGACCTGGCTGCTTTTCACGAAGCAGCTCGTGGGTGCTTTGCGAGCCCGAAACAACGACACGATCCTGGTTTTTTGCATGAACGGCGTTGAATCTGACTAACTAGCTGCAATAGCCGTTGTGCCGTCTTCCAATTGCCAAGTGTTGTCGTGGCAAGTGATTGCAGGCGGCGAGGAGGTTGCAAGGAAGTGCACCTTGCACGAGCGACATTCGACTGTGAGCACAGTTAGGAGCGGAGACGAGGAAACCTTTTCGGGACAATCTAGAGCCAAGAGCCGGCGCTGAATATTCGGATATTGGCAGGGTTGGCTGGTCGGCGGCTGATCGCTGAAGACTGTGTTCACCGGTCCGCGTGGCTTCTCGACCTCTTCAGCAGAAACAGTGATCAAGACATGCGCCGCAAAGGACGTCATGAAATCAAGCCTGCTGTGCTGTCGGCACAGCGGCCGATCTGCCCGTTCAGAGTCCAAGGGCAGCTTCTAGATTACTCTGTAAATCTGCAGTGGGGTTGGGATTCTTTTACGGGTTCTTTCACACCAAATTCACTTCCCACCAACCCGTAAGTAAGGATTCGATCTAAAAAGCAATCTGAGGATCCGAACCAAAAAGCTGCCTCTTTGAGGACAGATGTCTTTTTAGAGTTTAGGGTTTAGAGTTTAGAGTTTCCTGTTTTTAGGGTTTAGAGTTTAGGGCTTATGGTTTAGGATTTAGGAATTCAGACCCAAGCCACGACCCCACTCAACAGGATTCTTGAAGAGGGATTTGATATAAGTTGCTACAATGGGGATGAACTAAGGGTTCCTTTTAACCACTTTTGAATCAAAGCCTTTGCCGCAGGCAAGCGGGAAACCAGCTTTCATTGCAAATGCTTGAAAGAGCCATGCGGGAAACAAGTTTTAGATTAAGACTTTTGACGCAGTCAAGCGGGAAACCAGTTTGCCACTAGATCTTTTGCAACAACCCGGCGGGAAACCACTTTTAGATCAAGGTCTCTGGCCGGGGCAAGCGGGAAACCACTTTTACATCCAAGCCTCCGCCGGAGGCAAGCCGGAAACCATTTTTTATATTGCAAATGCTTAAAAGAGCCATGCGGGAAACCAGTTTTAGATTAAGACGCAGTCAAGCGGGAAACCAGTTTGCCACTAGATCTTTTGCAACAGCCAGGCGGGAAACCACTTTTAGATCAAGGTCTCTGGCCGGGGCAAGCGGGAAACCACTTTTAAAGAAAAGCCTTTGCCGGAGGCAAGCGGGAAACCAGTTTTTATTGCAAATGCTCGAAACAGCCATGCGGGAAACCAGCTCTAGATTAAGACCTTTGACGGAGGAAACCGGGAAACCAGATTGCCATTAGATCCTTTGCAACAACCAGGCGGGAAACCACTTTTAGATCAAAGTCTCTGGCCGGGGCAAGCGGGAAACCAGTTTTTATTGCAAATGCTCGAAACAGCCATGCGGGAAACCAGTCTTAGATTAAGACCTTTGACGCAGGCATGCGGGAGACCAGATTGCCTTTCAATCCCTTGGAACAACCATGCGGGAAACCACTTTTAGATCAAGGTCTCTGGCCGGGGCAGGCGGGAAACCATTTTTAAATCAAAGCCTTTGCCGGAGGCAAGCGGGAAACCAGTTTTTATTGCAAATGCTTTAAAGAGCCATGCGGGAAACCAGTTTTAGATTAAGACCTTTGACGCAGGCAAGCGGGAAACCAGATTGCCATTAGATCCTTTGCAACAACCAGGCGGGAAACCACTTTTAGATCAAGGTCTCTGGCCGGGGCAAGCGGGAAACCATTTTTAAATCAAAGCCTTTGCCGGAGGCAAGCGGGAAACCAGTTTTTATTGCAAATGCTTTAAAGAGCCATGCGGGAAACCAGTTTTAGATTAAGACCTTTGACGCAGGCAAGCGGGAAACCAGATTGCCATTAGATCCTTTGCAACAACCAGGCGGGAAACCACTTTTAGATCAAGGTCTCTGGCCGGGGCAAGCGGGAAACCATTTTTAAATCAAAGCCTTTGCCGGAGGCAAGCGGGAAACCAGTTTTTATTGCAAATGCTTTAAAGAGCCATGCGGGAAACCAGTTTTAGATTAAGACCTTTGACGCAGGCAAGCGGGAAACCAGATTGCCTTTCAATCCCTTGGAACAACCATGCGGGAAACCACTTTTGGATCAAGGTCTCTGGCCGGGGCAAGCGGGAAACCACTTTTAAATCAACGCCTTTGCCAGAGGCAAGCGGGAAACCAGTTTTTATTGCAAATGCTCGAAACAGCCATGCGGGAAACCAGATTGCCATTAGATCCTTTGAAACAACCAGGCAGGAAACCCCTGCTAGATCAAGGTCTCTGGCCGGGGCAAGCGGGCAACCATTTTTTAACCAATGCCTTTGCCGGAGGCAAGCGGGAATTCAGCTTTTATTGCACATGCTTAAGAGCCATGCCGGAAACCAGTTTTAGATTAAGACCTTCGACGGCGACACCACGCAAATGCTACTGACCACAAAACGACCATGCAATGACTGTGATGTGCCGATTGTGGTGGAGCAATGCGCAGAGACTATCAGAACTGCAGAAGTGGACGAGAAGACGAGGGTTCGCGATATGGAGCTGAGGGCAACTGTTGCTGACAACTGTTGGCACGTGCATCGGACCACATCTGCACAAGCATTTCGGAGCTGCGCATGGACCCGTCCCGTCGCAGCGGTCATCGCGAGGCCAGCTGGTAATTTCATCAACTGCCTTTGCGGAAAGAATCAGCAGATGTGTAGGTTCCGGGTAGCGTAGCGGAATGCGGCGCTGGAAATAGTGGCATGGCTTTGAGGCGAGAATCCGTAGAAATGTGCATGTTCATCCGCTGTTTTTCGTTTACTGTCGGGTTGCCATGTCATCGTCATGCGGCGTCTTCGCCAAAACTGCACAGTTTTGCGTACCGTTACGGAATGCACCGCTTTTCATAACGGCTCCCCTCGGTCCCTCGGGGTCCACTTTTACGCAAATCAGCGCCTTCTGCGGCGCCCCAGCTCCCGGCACTGCAATCCAAGTCCCACAATTGTGCACGTTCGTGTGCCGTTACAGAAGTCAGTGCTTTGTGTAATGTCGGCCCCCCCCCTCCCCTTCTCGCGGTGTAACTACCGTTCTTGTGTGACGAAGCCTCACGACCAGCTCTGTTACACTTGAAGTGGCGGGTGGGGGGGGGACCACCTGGAAAAAGCAGCGCTTTCTGTAACAAACCGACTCGTTACAAGGGAGCCGTTACGGAATGCAGCGCTTTTCGTAACAAAGTATATCCCTGTCCCACGAATCGGTGTGTTACAGAAAGCGCTGCTTTTCCCAGGTGGTCCCCCCCCACCCCCCACTTCAATTGTAACAGGGCTGGTCGTGAGGCTTCGTCGCACAAGAACGGTAGTTACGCCGCGAAAAGGGGAGGGGGGGGCCGACGTTACAAAAAGCGCTGACTTCTGTAACGGCACACGAACGTGCTCAATTGTGGGACTTGCATTGCTTTGCCGGGAGCTGGGGCGAAGCAGAAGGCGCTGATTTGCATAAAAATGGAACCTGAGGGACCGAGGGGAGCCGTTATGAAAAGCGGTGCATTCCGTAACGGTACGCAAAACGATCCGAAAACGTTGTATTTTTCCTGTACCGTTACAGAAATCGGCGCTTTCTGTAAGACCCCCTCTCCGGCAGTCAAATCTCCAAGGTTCTGCATATTCGAGTGCATTTACGGAAATCAACGCTTTTTGTAATGTCGTCGGGCCCCCCTTCCCGATCTCCCGGCGTAAGCGCCGTTCTTCTGGCGCAAGGCCTCGTAATCGCTTCTCCCTAACTATGAAGCTCCCCCTAATATTAAAACTCCCCGACCCCGGAAATTTGCGGTTTCGGGCCCCACATTCAATTTAAAAGGAAAAGTATTAGGGGGGCCCTAGATTTGTATGAGTTTTTATAGAACCAAGATTACAATAGTACTAAACCAACAGGAGCAGGGCTTTGGGGCTTAGGGTTTCAGAGCTCAGGGCTTAGGGCTTTAGGGCGTAGGGCTTTAGGGCTTAGGGCTTAAGGGCTTAGGGCTTAGGGCTCAGGGCTTAGGGCTTAAAGCTGAAGCTTCCTCTCGTCAATTACTCACTGCCTGACTGCGGGCTGTTCTCTGGCTGTTCTGTCTGTGACCTGACTCAGCCATAACCGGATGCTCAGAACCCCCCCCCCCCTAATATTAAAACCCCGGCCCGGATTTCGAGTTTCAATATTAGGGGGGGGGGTCCCGTTTTAGTTAGGGAAAAGCCATTAGCAGGCCTGTTTACGGTGCCTGGATGTGCGGGGTGGCCAGGTAGGAAAGACGGCCCTTGCAACCGACCCTATTGATTTATGTACTTCCCGGCAGGTCAGCGCTGCCGAGACTGTACGTTTGGCCAGCCAGTTGGAGGCTGCACAGGTGTGGCGGGATTGGGGCATTTGCGAGGCCTGATGTCGTCATTGGTTTTGTGCTCTTACTTGTGCATGGGTGTGGCCGCCCCCGGTTGGTTAGCCCTTGCACAAGCCGAGATTGCCAAACTCAATGAAGAGCCGTCTCAGCTGCCGCTGTACTTGAAGTTCCACCACAGAGCTGTCGCATGCTGGGCACACCTCAGCAACCCGTAGCAGAGACCTGCAACACGGACACTCGACACGGCACAAGGGCACAAGGGCACAAGGGCACGGGGCGCAAGGGCACAAGGCCACGAGGGCACACGGGCACAAGGGCACGGGGCACAAGCGCACGAGGGCACGAGGGCACACGGGCACAAGGACACAAGGGCAAGGGAACAGGAGAGGACCGAAGCCGTTTTTTTGGAGGGGTCAGGACAGGGTTTAGGGACTTGGGGATTTAGGCGTGCCGTTAGGGTTTGGGGTTTTTGCAGGGTCTGGGCAGGGTTTTGTTTCCCAATGGACCCTAACTACATACTGTAGACTGTTTTTGCTAAAGAGGTCGCGCAGCCACACGGACCTTGAACAAAGTGCGAAGAGCCGAACATCCGCCGACCATCCAACCCTGCGAATATCAGAACATCACGCGCCTGTTCTTTGCTCTTGACTCTAGATTGCCACGAAAGTGTCTCTTAGCTGTGCGTGCGCCTCCTTATACAACCTTCTGACTGAGCCCTTGCAGGCATTTGCCGCCACGACCATTTGGATGATGGCACAATGGCCATGGCCGTGGCAGCCAGTTAGTGCAATTGCTCTGGTGCGGAGAGCCTTCGCGGCCTGAAGAAACTGCCAGCAGATCACCAAGAGACTATACCACACGAGGCCACCAGTAGAAAGCAGGACCAGGAGTTTTCACCAAAAACGGTGGTGCTGGCGCATTTCAACAGGATGGACACACTACGCTCGCCCCCGATGTACGTGCGTGGTTCCAGGAATATGAGCAAATTGATTAAATGTTTTGCCCATGTACTCCTCTGACTTAATTAATGTTCTTTATGATGGATCTGGCCTGCCCCACACCCGCACAGCATAGATAGTCCCCCCCGATCCTTTGTAAGTTAGCCGGGTCCTCCACTGTACAGGTGCGAGCGCGCCGTGCCCGTTCGGAATGCCAACTAGATGCCCGCCACGTGCATTGATTTGATGTGCACTGGGAAGCCCACAGTTGCAGTAATAAGTTATAAGATTAGTGAGGCGAAGTGTAACTGTAAGAGAATCTGCGTAGCCCTTCAGTTAGTGCCTGCTGCGAGTGCTGCCGCTCTTGGAGCTACCTGATGTGTGACATATAAGCCAGAGACCACTGGCCTTGAGTTGTCTTTCGAGGCAAGGGCTTTTGCTTTGGTCGGGGGTCGGATCTTGTGTCTCGGACACTCGAGCTGCTCCAACAGAAATAAGAAACACTGTTGTGTTCATTACGGATAGGTGTGGAAATGGACCCAAGCTGTCTGGCTCCAAGCACTGCGGTCTGGTCATTTTGCAGGGTTTCTTGCTTGTATTCCACTTTGCAGGCAGAACAACAAAGGAAGGTTCACCACAGACACTGTGTCCGAGCGGCTGATGAGATGGACGCCTGGGCCCGCAGGTTTGCGAATCCGGTCGGCGTCGATATTTTTTACTTCTTGAGCTCTTTGGAGGTGTTCACAGGCTGAAATCAGGGCCCTTGTGAAAAGCAACCCAAGCAATAAAGAAAATTAGGTCGCAGGATGTATTCGTGTTCCTGCTTCTGCTTGCTCCGCTACCACCAAGGCCCCCATCAGGGAGAAGTTCAATTGTCACGAGACAGACCACCTGGATGTTAGGTCTAGTGAGTCTCGCTCAGGGTGCGAGGCCATTTTGCAGGGTTTCTTGCTTGTATTCCACTTAGCATGCAGAACAACAAAGGAAGGTTCACCACAGACACTGTGTCCGAGCGGCTGATGGGATGGACTCGAAATCCATTGGCCTGGGCCCGAACTCCCTGAGTTTTCGGGGAAGGCGGGCACGTAGGGTTTAGGGCGCCCAGCTTAGTTCATTTGTTTAGGTCCCCTCATAAGGGGAAGCTGGGCTTAGGGTTTAGGTTAGTGCTAGGCTAGATTGCTTCCCCTTCCCGCCCTGTCTGGGAATTGAACCCAGGACCTCTCGCACGCTGGGTTCAATTCCCAAACAGGGCGGGAAGGGGAAACAACCTAGCCTAGCACTAACCTAAACCCTGAGCCCAGCTTCCCCTGATGAGGGGACCTAAACAAATGAACTTAGCTGGGCGCCCTAAACCCTACGTGCCCGCCTTCCCCGAAAACTCAGAGAGCTAGGCACCCCAAACCTTAAGCCGGGTTTCCCCTAAAATGTGGGACCTCGGCGCCTAAGCCATCGAAAACGTCACCAAACACCGCGGGGAAGCATTTCGCTACTGGTTCCCTTTTGCAGAGTCCAAACTCCTCCGCTGCACTGGTGCTGGAGGGGCTTCGGACCCAATCATTCGCCAAGGCTTGGACACCAGGTCTTTCAGGAACGGCTCGGGGAATGAATCTTTCAGGAACGGCTTCGGAACCAAATCGTTCAGAAAGAGCCTCGGGAGCCGCCGGGAAACTGCCAGGAGACCACTTTCAGAACACAACCAGCAGAACCCAGGAGACCACCCGAAGACCACGAGGAGACTCACGAGACCACCAGGAGACCACAGGCGATTTGACCCGTGGGATTGATCTTCCAAGGGTCCAATGCTGCTGATTCTCGGGCCTTGTGCCGGCAGGATCTGGCAGGCAGGGCAGGGAACTTGGCCAAGACTTCACATGCTCTATCATCGAAGTTCCAACTAGTCGTGTCTCTGGCAGCAGCCTGTATCCTGGTAGTACGTGGAGGCTGGAGGGCAAGGCAGCCCCGCACCAATGCAGTGGAAGACCCGGCTTATTTGCAAAGGGTCGGGTGAAGCCTATCCATACGGCTGCGAGGCAGGCCAGATCCATTGTACATAACATGGAATATGATGAGTACAAGGCAAAACATTTTGCTCATGTCCTGGAATCCCGCATGTACATTGAGGCTGCGGCAAGCACTGTGTCCTGAAATGCGCCAGCCCGCCGGCGGGAAGCGTTTTGTCTCTCCGCGGGAATGCGTCGGTATATGGTGGAAAAGCATCATACTCTTGCCCTGTCTGCTGCTTCTTGAATCGATGAACGCGGAGTTGAGGGTTGCTCGAGGCGGCTGCAGGTGTGGGGTCCCACGATTGGGCGGTTTGCCTAGGCAGGATACCTACCCAGGAACAACACCCCCCAACTCACCTGGAAATGTAGGCCACAGATCTTAGAGGCGAGCCCCGTATTGTTTGAACAAGTGAAGCCAAACAAGATCAACAACCCCTTCCAGATCCGATACATAGCAGACCGGGCGCAAGTTCTCAAGCTTTGTGACTACCACTGGCCCGCGCTTCCGGATGGGCGAAATAATCCTAAACCATGAGGACGGGACGATACCTAGGGAAAAAATCAAATTGACAAGAACCCATGTTAACACACGTCCTGCATCAGACGCAGCAACCACGGCTTGCCTGGGTAGTTGGACCGAGGCTCTCCTAGTTTGAACAGAATTAAGGAGGTCAGAGAAAAGCTGAAAGCTGACGAATACCGAAGGCGAGGTCTCGGAAGAACGAGCGCTTGGGCTCTGGCACTCGCCACACACGTCTGGACCAAAGAATTGAACGCTGGGACCCCTGCATGACCGGCGTTCCCCCTTGCCGTCACATCGTTAGCAATGGCTGCCAGTGACTCACAGTCCGACAACTGCCTGCCCGTGTTCTCTTCCGCAAACCTTGTCTGAAGAGACTCCCTGGGCTTTAACAGCTGGGACAGATAAGCTTGGGCCGCGTTCTGATTATAGGCAGACAACTTCGTGAATTTTGCTACTTTCTCTTCATGCAGGGAAGATCTGAGCTTGGCCAGGAGATCTTCAGCTGCTTCAGTCGCACCATCTCCCTCGTGAGCTTCTGTAGCCATAAATGGCCAAAGCTCTTGCGCAAGGTCCAAACGCCTATCGGCCCTACACACCCAAACCAGCCCTTTGAAGTGGCCCGCCAGTGTCAGCACCACAGATCTCCACCAAACAACCCTATCAAGCAAATTCTGGCGAGTTCCTTTGTGACTCCCTTGCGCAGTCCAAGCCTTCAAGGTGCCGTTGCTAAGGGCAGACGCTGCCCAACACGAGGCGAAGGTAAGCGAAAACTTAACCTCATCAATGGCATCATCCCAAGAAGAGCCTAAACCCCAACGAGCAACCCCAACTTGCTGCTGTCTAAGAATGGGAATTGTGGCCATATGGCAGGCGCACACCAGGAATGCATGATCACTGCGCAGTGCTTCCTCCTGGAGCCATGACACCTTCAAGTCCAGAGCAAGGATCTGTTCAGCCGCCACCAAATCAATAACTGAACCCGAGGCGTGCGTTGGAACGGCTGATTGATTTCTGATGGTAACATTAAAACCATCCGGACTACAGAAAACAGAAAAAATTTGCCTGTCGAGAGTGCTGGCCATCCGGGCGTTAATCGGCCCCAGACAAGGGAAATGCAGGTTAGTGTCACCTAAAAGAACGAAAGGACAATCCCTATAGGGCTCCAAACATCTAATGCTGCGAAGCTCTCGCAGTCGCTGCTGCCAGAAAGCATCACGAATCGCAGCGGGGTGCCCAGTATGCGGTCCATACACCGCGAGAAGAAGAATCACAGGCTGACTTTGAATGGCAACCCACATGGCGCACTCGTTGCCATATCCTTCAATGATGGAGACTGCATCTGTAACGGCCTCGTGCACAAGCACCGCCACAGATGCCGGCTCGTCCGTTTGCAACCCGAAAAATTTGAACCCGGTGCAAGTGGGCCACGCAGCGTGTGATCTGAGCTTAGGTTCCGCAAGAACCGCGATGGTGACTCCTTCGTGCGAAAGCTGTGCCGCAAAGTGCAACATGCGATCCACGTTAAGGGCCTCATCTGCGGATCTACCAAAAGCCCCTTGAGCGTTCCAAGCAGCAAAAACTTGACGGCAACTGCCCACTTGTGCGGCAGAATTGAGGCTGTCAGCCGAGTGACCCCCTTCCCACGGACCAGCTACATTACTCAGCGGCGTGTCCAGAACAAACTGCTCAGTCCTACGAATGACATCCTTCAGACACTCCGAAATCACCCTGTCAAAGGACCTGAAAATGAGCAATTCAGGTGGCACTTGGGAAACGCCAAAAGCTGGTCGGCTCGCAAGGAGGGCCCAAACATCTCTGCGCAAGGCCAGATGCAGGAGCTTACTAACTTTGACAGGTTTAGGAGGAAGCCCTGCTTGGATCAGCTGCCCGATCTCTTCTTGGGCCCGCTGAACCACCTCTTCTTGGCAGGAACTTTGCAAAAAAGAAAGCAACAGTGCGTCAGCGTCCGTGTCCATGACCGATCCCTTGAGGATGTGAGCAAACTACGGCGACGACAGCTACGACCCAAAGTGGCCAAGGCTCAAGCAGCGCGCAACCTTGCACTCACAGAAGATTCAGTCAGTACTTGCAGCCTGAGCAGCGGCAACCCAACCACGACGAAGAGGAAAGGCAGAGGGAACAAGGAAAGAAACAACCAAACGAGGAGCGAGGGGAGGAAAACAGGAAACACAACCAAAACACACACACACACACCAACACACACACACACACAACAACAAAAAAAAAAAAGATTAGACAGACACTAAACCCTCAACCTCGAACCCCTGAACTTATAAAGCCTCCCTTCTAGGACTCCTGGCAGTGGCCCTTGAAAGAACCCTGATGCAGCCCCAATGTACTAACACCGACTCCCAGAATCCACAAAGATGAAGGCAACTTCTCGAATCTAAGGCAATCCGGTAGAGGTGCTTTAGGTTTAGAGTGTTACTTTGTTTTTTTGTTGCTTCTTCTTCTTCGTGCCATTTCCAACCTGCTGAGTACGGTATGTATGTATGCATGTATGTATGCATGAATGAATGTATGTATGTATTGTACATAGGTAATTATATCGGTTTGTATGTATGCATGTATGTCAGGATGTATGTAGGTGTGCATGCATGTATGCGTATTTGCATGCACGAATGTATCTATGCACGTATGCAATACGCTCTATTCCCAGGATGCTGTGTTCACGTATCGAAGCCTTGGAATCCAAGCATCCTTCGTGTGAATCTTTGAGGAGCTGATCCTAAGTAGTATACACGGAAGCCCCGTATGATTGCAAAGTCTAGGATTTAGGTTTTACGGTTTAGGGGTTGTGCTAGGGCGCAACATGGTTGTAAGTGCTTGTAACCTCACTCAGAGCCTGTGCACTAAATCTCATCATCCTTCAAGTACACCCTTCACAATGGTTTCCCCACCCAGGAAGATTGATGTTTAGTATCGCGGGTAACTAACCGCACTGCTGATGGATTGTTGGGGGCGTGGAGGTCGGGTCTACGGTCCCAGGGTGCTGAGCTAAGAAGTTTGTAGGGTCCAATAAAACCTTGAAACGGACGTGCATGATTTACGCCTGGGGAATTTAGGTGCAGGATTCAATTTAGGGTTTAGGGCACAGGACCGGAGAACACAAATCTTGGGCTGTAGGATGCGCATTTCGTGGTTCAAGCAGCTTCAACTCTGATAAAGGGGAGTTTTCCTTGCGAGTGAGCTTCCAAACTTGTAGCGCATTCACAGGCAAAGGGCTAGCTTGCACAATTACCCCTGTACCCTGAACCTTACCCCCTCCATACCCTAAACCCTAAACCCTAAAACGAAAACCCTAAATCTAAAACAAAAAACCAAAAGCCCTAAACGCTAAGCCCCTAAACCCTAAACCGCGAGACCCGTAGCTCTGAAATCCTACACCCTCTATAGGCAGAGCCACATTGCAGCTCCTGTTTTGTCCGGCCTTGCTCGGTGTGCCTGGAGGATCGGGAAGCTTAGGAACTGTAGGGAAACCTATAAAGATGTACCATATGACCAATTCAAGGACTTCTCCACCCTGAAAACCACAACCCTAGAAACTAAATCCCGAATCCTAAGCCCTACCCTTAACCCTACATACTAACCCTTAACCCCAAACCCTAAACTACATCCTAAGCTTCTTAGCTTAGGTTAACTAGGCCCATGATCCTCCAAGTGGGGGAAAACAATAGCAGTGCGCACTAAGCGCGCTCTGCTGAGAGCGGTCGAGTCTCAGGCTCAGCTTTCTTTTTACAGGGGCTTGAATGGTCAGAATAGGGCTCCCTTTAAAAGGGTTCCTTCTAAGGGGTTCTCAAAGGGATCCATAGTAGGGTTCTATCGCATAGGGGCCTTAATAATAAGAATGGGTTTTGGGGCCCACTATACTATAACAATCGTAAGCAAGCCCTAAAATAGTATTGGTAATTACTTAGGCCCCTTTTTTTGCCAGGGTTCACGATTTAAGGGTTGAGGTTGCAGGGGGTTTAGGGTTTAAGGGTTGAGGGTTTAGCATTTAAGGGTTCAGGGTTTAAGGGTTGAGGGTTCAGGGGTTTAGGGTGTAGGGCTTCAAGGATTGCGGGTCTCGCGCTTTGGGGCTCAGAGCGTTGGGATTTTGAGATTGCAGGATTTCAAGAAATCAAAGCTCAAGGCTTAGGTGTAAAGGGTTTAAAGGATGCGTGTTGCCCAAAGGGTCCAAGTATCGTTATGCTATATACTTAGAGCCCCAAAACACCCTATTATAAGTACATACCATAATGAGACTTGGAGCCTTTGGGTTGGCGACAAGGAGTATGAGAGTTTCAGGTTAGGCTTGACCACTCGGATGTTTCAGTGTTTAGGGCTTCTAGGGTTTTAAGGCCAGTTTAGGGTCAAGGGTTTGGGGCTCAGGGCTTAGTTCAAGGCTCTAGGGTTTAAGACTTATGGCTTAGGGGTTTAGGGTTTAGGGAGGGATTGCAGTTTACAAGTCCGGGCAGAGGCTTTTAGATGATAGGAGTGCGGCTGACAAGTTTCACCCGAAGCCGCCAAGCAAAGTCGCTGAAACTCCTTGACGGGAGTCCGAGTATTTCGGTTGTTGTAACCTTTCAAGGGTCCAAATGTGGAACCACTCAACGGTTTATGTTGGGTGCCGCCCCCGCCCTGGAACAGTCTATTATAAGGGATCATATTAGAAGCTATGTATATACATATGTATATATATATATATGTATATGTTTATACAAAAATATTAAAAGTCTAAACATGATAAAGCTTTTACAGAGTGGGGGCAGTGCCCAAGGTTTAGGGGTCTAGGGTTTAGGGAGAAGACATTTTGTACTTATCCATTACAGGAGTCCTGTCCCAATCGCCCTATGATTGGAGATTGCTACCAAAACATTCCCACGTCTATATTACGGAACTAACGGCAATGCAAGTATATGCCTAGACCCGCTGTGGTTAGAGTCCTCGGATCAAGTCACATACTAAGAAAACAATACAATTCAGGCCGAACTATGTTTACAACTCAGTCTCTGTTTCAATGATTACAACCCCAAAAGGAACTCCAAAACCCTAAACCCAAACGCCAATTAGGTAGTGCGGAAACTGTAAGGTTCGGAAGACCCAAACATCCGGTACTTAGGTATATTGGTAATGTTCGTACTTTAGGTATTTGGACCCTCAGGGCAACTGCTTGGACCCTTCGGGGGCAGGCTAAGACGCCTGCAACCCGAAACCCGAAACACCGCGCGCGTCACGGTGCAGGCGGACGCGCCTTGGCATGCGGGCTTCTACAGGGGTCCAAGCCATAAGACTCAAAAGGCCCAACAGCCACATAAAGGCCCAAAAGCCTAGACATGGGAGAAAGGGAAAGGTTTTGGGTTTACAGTAGAAGCCCAAAAGTTGGAAACCCAATAGCCTCGATCCCTAAGAGTGACGTGTAGGGAATCCCAGCACTATTTGGCCCTAATCCGGTTTCCAACTTTATGGGGTTTACCGTAATGGACCCCTAGATCCCTTGAAAGGACCGCTTATAGATCCCTTTAAAAGGAACCCTATATGAGACTTTAGATTTTCTGTAGGGGTCCCCAAGCCGACTCAGAGATGGCTATGTAGGGTTAGGCTGTCCCAAGTCTCACAAAAACACTCACAACTTCCTAACGGGTCGGGGTGGTGGGGTGGGGTGGGGGCGGGGGTTCGGGGTGGGGGTGGGAGGGCAGGGTTGTCCGGCCACAGAAACCGTCGGTAGTAACTTTTTTGTGGTTTTTGACTCCACCCGCGTGAAACCCTAATGAGCCCTAAATACCGAAACCACAAGCCTCAATTGACAACGTCAAATTCGAAACCCTGAGCCCTCTGAGTGGCTTTCAATAAAGACCTCAGTTCAATGGGTAATCTCAATCTGAAAAACCCTAAACCCTAAACCCGACTAAACCCTAAACCTGAAACCCGCCTAAACCCTCAACAAAGGCTTCGAAGAAAGCATGGCGAGACGCAGATCCGTGAAGCTGAGCACGCATTGAGGCGACCTGAGCATCCATCGCCTGGCTCCGGGGGTGAAAAAGGGGCCTTTAAGGCCTCCTTTAAGGGATCTGTAGGGGTTACCATAAGGGTACTATAGGGTTCCTTTAAGGCCTGGTTTAAGGGATCTGTAAGGTTTACTAAAAGGGTACTATAGGGCTATAGGGTTTAGGGGTTTAGGTTTAAGGGCTCGTTTAAGGGATCTGTAGGGTTACTGGAAGGGGCACTAAGGGTTTAGGGGTTTAGGTTTCAGGGTGGCATGCTTCTATTCACTCGGAGGATCATGGGACGTAGTAAGTAAGGTTGTAAGTACCCTAACTGAGGTGATACGCACCTGTAGGTATAGTTGACCTATGTATGTATGTATGTATGTATGTATGTGTATATAACCATAATTACTAAGTCCCATGATCCTGCAGGTAGGATTCATGGGGTTGTGGGCTTAGGGCGTTGAGAATTGAACAACTTCTGTAACTCAGGATAATGTGGGGGTTTCCGAGAATAGGGGGTACCTAAATATGGGGTCCTTATAATAAGTATCGTACTATTTGGGGTACTATAGCAGGGTCCCGTATTTTAGGAAACGCCCATGTTGCTGGTTGCATGGAGAAGCTTGTAGGCACTCTGGGAGAATTGCTCTCAACCTTTTTTTGGCAGAGGTTCGTTGATTGGTGCGAACGGAAGCTCTGCACAGAGGGGTCTGTTTGCCACCGTACGACCTACGGTACGGAACTAATGTAGGGGCCTCAATAAATAGAATAGGGCGGGTTCCTTTCAGGATTCGTGAAAGGGTTGATGTACGAGCTGGCCACCTGCAGGCCGTTGCAAGCGGATTCCTACACTTCACAGCAGTGATGAATGCATGATAGTGCATGCCTGGTCTGGGGAGTGCCTGCTTTCAGCAAAGCACCTTCCAGCCGCGTCGGTTCCGAAGGCCACCGTTTTGTGCTGGCTGTCGTCGACATGCTGAGCCCGG